GAGGCCTGGAGACCATAGGAACAGAAAGGCATCTCCTAGACAACCTGGGGATGCGTGAGGGCGGAGCCTTGCGCAGTAGAGAGGGCAATGTGTGTTTACAGGGGATGCGAACAGGTCTATGCTGGGGGTGCCCCATTTGTGGGTGAGGGTTTTGAATTGTGTGGGATGTAGTTGCCACTCGTGGTTGTTCTTTGAGGACCTGCTTAGGGAGTCCGCCAGTATGTTGTCCTGGCCTGGTAGGTGGATGGCTGTGAGGAGGATGTTCCTCTGGATGCACCATTCCCAAATTCGTGTCGATATGGCTAGTAAGGTGTGAGAGCGTGTTCCCCCTTGTTTGTTGATGTAGTATTTGACTGCAGTGTTGTCTGTCACAATTTGGAGTTTGCGGTTCGAAACGATGCGGACAAAGGCTCTGAGGGCCTTTTCTACCGCCATCATCTCGAGTGCGTTGATATGTAGGTTTCGGTCCTGAGGGGACCAGTGGCCGCTCACTTTGAAACCTTTGAGGTGCGCTCCCCAGCCCAAGTTGGAGGCGTCTGTCGTGAGGGACATGGATGGGTGAGGTTGGGTGAAAGGCATACCCGATTGAACATTGTATTGCTTTGTCCACCATGAGAGGGAGTGGAGGACGGAGTGGGGTGGGTATAGGATTTGGGATTGAGATTCCCGTAGGGGGTCGAATGACTTGATGAACCATCTCTGCAGCGGCCTCATCTTTAGGCGGGCAAATGGGGTTACATTTGTGGTAGATGACATGTGTCCAAGGATAGACTGGATAGCCCAGGCCGAGGCCCGACGGGATTGTTGGAGATTTAGGATTGCTTGCTGAAGGTTGGTGAAACGGTCGTCTGGAAGGAAGGCCTTTTGGAGGGTGGAGTCTATGATGGCTCCGATGAACTGGATTCGTTGGGTTGGGGTGAGATGGGATTTTTCCTGGTTCACAACCAGACCCAAGTCCTGTAAGAGAGATAAGGCGTAATGAATATCTTTGCACAGTTGCGTTTTTGATATAGAACAAAATAACCAGTCATCCAGGTAAGGAAAAACCACGATGTTTTGTTGGCGGAGGTGCGCCGCTATGACTGACATGCATTTTGTAAACACTCTGGGTGCGGTGGACAAGCCAAAYGGGAGAGAGTTGAACGAGAAGTGTTTGTCTTGCASTGCAAAGGTKAGGAACCTGYGATGGGAGTTCCTAATTGAGATATGGAAGTAGGCATCYYGTAGATCCACCGTCGCTAGCCACGCTCCCRGTGGAATGAAGGGTAGTATGTTAGGAAGTGTAACCATGCGGAATTTGCGTGGTGTGATGAAGGTATTAAGCCTACGAAGATCTAGGATGGGGCGTAGTCCCCCGTCCCTCTTGTCTATTAGGAAGTATCGAGAAAAAAAGCAGGTGTCGGTATTGTGTGTGGGGTTGGGAGATATGGCGCMCTTTTGAAGGAGCGAGTGTACCTCTTCCCAAATCTCCTGGGAGGGTTGTGTGAGGAGGACCTTTCCAACAGGTGGGTATGTGTCAAACTCTATCGCATATCCTCTGTGAATTATGTCCAAAACCCAGGCATCTGTGGTGATAGATTGCCATGCTGGAAGAAACGGCTGTAGTCTATTGAAGTATGTGAATGGTGGTGTGTGTATGGAAGGATGAGTGGTAATGGTTAGTGATGTGCTAAAAATGACGTTTATTGTTATTGGAGGGTCTGGTACCACGGTACTGACCTCTGAAAGGAAGCTGAGGCCGTCTCGGGGCTGTAGACTGGGTGTAAGATCTCTGTCGTCCTCTGTAGAAGGGGGTGTTATAAGGTCTGTTGTAGTAATGAGGGCGGTAGTAATATGAGCCCCATCGTTGGCGTTGGTAAGAGTGAGGTTGTTGGTCATATTTGAAGACCGTTTGTTTCATTTTATGAGAATGCTCGAGTTGTGAATCAGTCTCAGRGTTGAAAAGTCCTGCTTCGTCCATRGGCAGGTTTTCGATGAGGTTGCGTTGTGATTGAGAGAGGATAGCAGCCCTTAGCCAGGCATGGCGGCGAAGGGCCACCGAGCCTGCAATGAGTTTGCCAGCAGTGTCTGCTGTATTTCTTGCAAGATCCTTTTGTAAAGATGATAAAAGTAGGGCCTCTTGCTTAAAAGCTAGAGCCAGTGGCTGATCAGCTGGAGGTAACAGTTCCAGGTAGGGTGATATTTTGTTCCATAGGTGGGTTTGATATACACTCATATAAACCCCATAATGAGCCATGCGTGCAAACAAGCATGCTGAGGAATAGAATTTCTTGGCCATGGAGTCAAGTTTCCTTCYCTCTTTATCAGAGGGAGAGGTCTGGTTAGTTTGGACAGGTTTTGGTTGAGCATCAGTTACAATGGAGTTTGCTTTAGGCATTTTGGAAAGCCATGAAGCTGCGGAGAGATCAATACGGTATAAATTTTCTGCTCTTTTAGGAGTTGCCGGGATCATAGCCGGAGCGACTCCAGTATTTTTTAAAATTTTTAGTAGAAATGGTAAGGTGGGTAACACAGTAGACATGGGCTGTTGTTGCTCAGTAGAAGTAAAGCAGGGGTCTACCACAGTGTCTGTGGGTTCAGGTGTAGCTAGATTTAGGGTCCTAGCTAGCCTTATTAGCAGGGCAGAGAATTTTTTAAATTCCTCCAAGTTCTTGGGAGAAGGGTCAGGGTCTGGGAGTGGTTCATGTATAAGTGGAGTCTCATCTGTTGATTCCAAGTCCACTATCTCTGATTCTTGGTGAGTCTGGATGAGGGGGTCTTGGAGTGGTTGCGGGGGGTCTGGAGCAATGTGTTCTTCTGGAGGATGAGAAAGTGTGGCTGTAGGGGCTGCATGTGGAGGTTGTGGGTATCCAAACTGGGGTGGATAATGGGCACTGTAGTCCCTGGTGGGGTTGGGGGGAGGGGGATAGTAGAAGGGGTACATAGGGTAAGGAGGAGGGGGAGGGTAGAGGTGATAAGGGTAATCCTGTGGGCTATAAGGATGATATTGTTCGTGTCTAGCCCTTTTAGAAGGGTGGGGGCTAGGAGAGGGATGAGGGGAAGGGGAGAGAGAGCGCTGGCGGCGGCGCGGAACGCGCGCTGCCGAAGCTTGCTGTTCCGAGGGAGGAGTCTCCCTCGGTGCCGGCGAATCCGGAGGGCTGGGAGAGGGAGGAGGAGATGACTGGGAGGGAGGGAGGGGCGGAGGAGAAAGCTCCGTATTAGGATCATTTTGCAGCGGATCAAGGAGCTCCAGCGGGGGAAGGTAGGAAGGATCTTCCAAATGGAGCAAGGAGGGAAGGGGATCCTGGAGCTGTGTGACGGAACCGGAGAGATGGGGCATCGGTTCCAGGGTAGGGGGGCTCAAGGGCTGCTCGCCAGTGAGTTGCCGTCCCTTTTTTTGCTTTGAGGCTTTCTCTTTTGTTTTTGTCGCCCTCGCAGCTTGTTTTGAGGGCTTGGATTTTTTTCTCGGCGGCTCCGCTGTGGAAGCGCTCGCCTGGCCCAGGTCTCGCCTATCTCCAGCACGTGGAGAGGAAGGCTGAGGGGGCTCTTGGGTTGGGGAGGAATGGGAGGGGGCAGAAGAAGCCTGAGGAGCCAAAGCGCGCTCATATAACAGCGCTTTCAAACGGCTATCTCTGCCTTTGCAAGCCCTAGCTGTAAAGCTGAGGCAAATGTCGCATGACTGGGGATTATGAGCCTCTCCCAAGCATAGTAAGCATTTGGAGTGCTTATCGGCCTCGGGGAGGGTAGCCCCGCAGGCTGAGCAGTTTTTGAAATAAGGAGAAGACATGCTTAGCCTGTAATCAAAAGAGTAGTCAGCCAGTCCGAGTCGGGGTTGGAGAGAAGACGGAGGTAGTGAAAACAGTCCTTAAGTCAAGTCCAGCCGGTAGAATGGAGAGAGAACGTTCCGAGATGCTGCCTGATTAGCGCGGAAAAGGAAACTAGAGCTCACCCGCACACGGCGGGATATATATACGAGGGGGCGGGGAGGGGGGCGGAGCCTCAAAATAATCATTTTTTATTTCATCAAACTTAGAATGTTCCGGATTTCTGCGCATGCGCGAAGGAAAACCCATAGGTGTGGATTTCGCAGAGGACAAGAAGAATAAATGGACCATGTCCTTAGTATTAACACTATCCTGGGTTCATTCCATGAAACACATCCAGTTCAAAAGGTCAGATATCAAATAATGGGAAAGACACTCCTGTACCTGAGACCACAGAGAACTACAGGCAGTCCCCGAGTTACAAACACCTGACTTACAAATTACTAATAGTTAAGGATGGGGATGAGACAACAGGAAATTACAGAAATCTCAGAAGAGAAATTCACTCCTGGAAGAGTTATCATGGGGAAAAGGGGTCTCCACTGAAAATATGTGGCTTGAGTTACACCTTAAAATGTATCTGTTCCGACTTACAAAAAAAATCAACTTAAAAACAAACTTACAGAACCTATCTTGTTTGTAACTTGTGGACTGCCTGTATTGTCAATTGGAGTAAAAAAGTATTCAGGGGATAGATCAAGGGACTAGATCAAAGATTCAGCCTGTTTTAGAAGTTCTATTCCTCTTGAAGACATAGAAGTTTGCAATTTGGGTGTAATCCTAGACTCACCTTTGAACCTGGAGGCTAGGTTTCTGTGGTGGCCAAGAGTCCTTTTCGGACATTTCAAGCATCTGCACTTATTCCTTGAGACATTAAATTTGGTCATATTTGGACTACTGCAACACACTGTTTCAGATTTGTATTACTTAGATCTCTGGTAACCCCACATTGTTAGTTTATTCTTAATCATGTGTATTATTTAGAAGAATGCCAATTTCTCTAAAGTAAAAAATTAACAGCATATTGTTACATATGTACCAGTGCAATATGCTGTCAATCTTTCAATTCTTAACTCCAAATCTACATTAGTATTCTTTCATACCTTAAAATTTGCAAAATATATACCAGCAAAGAAAGAAAAACTCTTCTAGAAGTGGTATTTAAAGTGACAAAACCCTGATATATGACTTCAATGATTCCTAGGGAAACATAATTTAACTTTTATTGAAATTGTTTGAACACTTTGTTACATTAAATTTGATTCCCAAGCAGAAACCACCTTAAGGAAACCAGTGTGATTAGGAAAAGGTATGAACAAGGAAGAGTGCCTGGCCAGCCCAAGGACTGGTTCGTTGTGTACTGAAACTCATGTATTGTCCGTGAGTCCCTTGAGAGACAACTGAGCAGAAGCTGAGTACTGCAGGGAGATCACCATTCAGTCTTGCCAGCAATGTAGTTTCATCACTGAGGCTCCTGGGTTACTGGAATAGTTAGTAACAGTATCCAAAGGTGACTTTTTTTGCATCTTGTTGTTCACCTGTTAGCAGAATAGGAGTACGTCTCTGTGCAACCAAGGCTTTTAAGACATGTATCTTTAAAGTAGATATACAACTCCTGGGAGGGCAGTGAGGCTGATGTTCCAGAAATTCTACAGTTTGGCTTGGAATAAACTATTCCCATATGGCAAGGACATGAGCTTCCTCCAGAAGGGAAAGGATACCCCCCTTCCTTCTATGGCCAATGAAGCAGAAAAGAATTTGAGAAAAGTACAGCTTTTTCCCTCTCATCATGACAATTCAGTTAGGAGGAGCTGTACCAGTTAACTAGTCCTTCCATGCTGCTTTTCAACAGCTTTGGAAATACTGATGAGACTTCATACGATTGGTACCGAAAAAGACTTATCATGCAAAGGACAGCCACTGTCCCAAGGCTAAAGCTATAGAGATTCGTACCTTCCAGTAAAAACATGTTTCAAATCATAACAAGCCATTTAAGTTAGGATATAGGAATCAAATATACAGGCAATTTGAAACAGCTCCAAAAATGTACACCAAAGCAACCAAGCAAACATACACAGAACCTTCTATCTCCATTTCATATGTGTGAATTTGTAGAAGAAATACCCTGCCTGCAGGAAGAACTCATTGCCAATTATTATTTCTGTGAACCTGAGTTGTGAGAGCAATAAATACAAAGGAGAGTGTTAAAAATGCAAGTTTCATGTTGAAGCTGAGTGGATTTTGTTCAGACCTGACCCCACCCTTGGAAAGCAATACGCCATTTGTGACATCTATAGAGAAGGGAGAAGAATCATCGCGATTCAAGCTCACTGAATGCTAGAAATCCAGCAATCACTAAATAAATTGTAAACTAGGACTGACCCTCCTTCCCCCTTTCCCTTTGAAACAGTCCCTTACAGAAGGCATTTGAAGCTAAAGTCTTCATATTTGGTTGGAAGTGTTTTGTTGTCCCGCCTCAATACATACACACGGAATTGTGAATAGGCACAACAGGAGGTTTAAACGTTCAACAAGTCCTCGTCGCTGTCATCGTGAAATGATGCTGTGTTTGTTGAGTTCTGTAGCTTCTGCTGGCCAAAAGCAGTGCTGCCTTTGCTTTTCTTGCTGTTATTAAGCAGGTTAGCTTTATCGTTGCTTGTGAGATGAAGAGGCTTGCTATAAGGAGGCCTCGTTGTGCCTAAGCCTCGAGACTGAATGTCTCTAGCTGAATGGATTTTGACCTCTGGTATTGTCAAAACTTCATCCTCGCTATCCATGTCATCCACTTGAAGGGATGTTAGAGCATCTGATTTGACTGCTTTACTAGCAATGTGGCCATTTCCTTGCCCGTCATTTCCTGACTTCTGATTTGGAGCAGCAACTTCTTCCATGAGCCATTCCGTTTCATTTTCATTCACTTCTTCGGTATTTATCTGTTATTTGAAGGAGATGGAATTAGTAAACAGTGTTTTAAAAGATCTCTATAGACACACAGTAGATATCTGAAACAGACCTGACTTTGAAGAGGAACTATATCTTAATGACAGAGTGCATGCTTTGTCCCCGCATGGAACAGGCCCAAGGTCCAATCCTTAAAACATTTAACCTTTTTTAAAGGGCGTGTTTGATGTGAAACACCTCTACTGCAAACTCTAGAGAGCTGTTGTCAATCAAAAGTACAGAGCATTGGGCTAGCTGGACAAGTGGACTGATAAGATAACATCACAGCAGCTACATTCACTCATCTTACTCCTATTGGGAACTTTCTTATAGAAATACAAAAGTTTAGCTCAAGTGAACCCAGTGCTGCCTCCTGGTGTCAATGCACAACTTCCAGCATCCCTCAATGCTAGCTATGATAGTTAAAACCAATGAAGGCTACAATTCACCATCTGAATTGCCACACTTTGCCCACTCCTGAGTAACCAAACAATGCCAGATGGTCACCCGGGCTCTCTCCTGGAGTCTGCTGCTCCATCAACAGTTTATTCTAAATCTCAATTAGAACTGGAATTGCCCATAAAAGTGTGGTCTGCTCATGGTACCAGTGTGTTTCTTTCTTGTTACCAAACTTCTCTACACCTCCATCTGATAAATATAGATTAGCCTGATAAATAAATTCCTTCATAAAAGGTAAAGGTTTCCCTTGACATTAAGTCTTGTTGTCTCCAACTCGGAGGGGGGGGGGGATGGGGGGTTGCTGCTCAACTCCATTTCTAGGCTGAAGAGCCAGTCTTGTCTATAGACACCTCCAAGGTCATGTGGCCGGCATGACTGCATGGAGTGCCATTACCTTCCCGCCCTAGCGGTACCTATTGATCTACTCACATTTGCATATTTTCAAACTGTTAGGCTGACAGATGCTGGGCCTAACAGCAGGAGCTCACCCCACTCCCTGGATTCAAACCACTGACCTTTCAGTCAGCAAGTTCAGCAGCTCAGCAGTTTAATCCACTGCATTACCAGGGGCTCCTCTAGTTCCTCTAAGCATAAATTCCCTCATATACAGTTGGCTAGGCATACTGAATATATTTCCCAACGCTATTAAGATATGAAAATCAGAAAAAGCTCAAAAAGTTATCTCTTTAAGTGAGGTGAGATAAAAGAATAACAGACTCTCAACTATTTGTTTTTCAAAACAATCAAGTCTTGTATAACATATAATTTTGTGAGAGCACCTTAAATGATAACACCAACCTACTACACCTAGTTGTTTATGTCTCAGGCAGCTCATGCTCAAATGGAATTTTCAGAGATTTTAAGCACCATTAACAATAGTGAACACAGTTCATAGACTTATACAGCAATGGTTTTGATATACTAAATACACATAGGAAAAATTACCTTTGTATACTTATAGGAAACATTTGATGTTCTCTGGCAGCAATTGGCTATCTTTTGCTTCATAGTCTCTCTAAAAAAAACAAAATGTTACTGTTATTATGCACTGTAAAAGTATTACCTGTAGACCATCTTATTCACCTGGCTCTACTAACCCAGTCCTACAGCAGATTTTACAGCAAGAGCTGAGGAGTAAATAGACAAACACTGTTCATATTTCTATAGTAATGCATGAAGGAAAAGTGGCAGGATCTCTGACTGAAATTAAGGAATATACTAAGAACGAACTCCTCTGCTCTTCATTGCAAATTCACCTCCAGAAGTATGAAGGGAAACACTAGCAAAGGGCAAATGGACATGTTAAAGGCTGAATCGTAAGTGTGTAGGTATCTCCTATGTGACATCTATGTTTAGAGAGAAAAGGGGAAGAACACCTGAGCATGGACTGGTGCTGAAAAATGAGGGGATATTGCTTTATGGCAGAGTATAAGAAACATATCTGTTTAGCCACTTAGAAAACATCCATGTGGAAATTAGAAGATGCCAGTATCAAGTATTTTAGATGAAAGGATGTTGTTAGGGAGTAACTCTCTCTCGAGAATAGTTATACCATGGGAAGTGAATTGTCCTACAAACTCCTCTGGCAGGACGGCTCATCTGTTCAAATATGGCAAATGCTGATTTGTGACTAAGGAAATAAGTTGCTGTAAATACAATGCACTCATCAACCTTGTGGCCTAAAGGTACAGTAAACCTCATCTTTGATGGTTTTGAAACAGTGAACGAACAAGATGAGCAGGAGAGACCAAGAACTCACAAAGCCTCTGTAATCTTTTTCAACTTACCTCCTTTCCTTTTTGTAAAGTAACATGATTATGAGGCATACTGTAAGTACCACCAGGAGCAAACTCAGTAATGCACCAACTGCTTGGCTTCTTCCTGAGAGGCCTTTATAAGAATGGTCTTCCACAAATGTTTTGTCATTCGTAGTCTCTGAGGTTCTGCAGATGATACAGAAAAAATACTGTTTATAACTAAGGAACTGATCAATTGAGCATTACCTTTATTTGGGAACCACTTGTCAATCATGATATTTTTTTAAAAAACTTGCTACTAACTAATTCATTAAATAGTGACTGAAGAGTTAGTATGAACACGTTTCTTATTCAATGACTCCAGATATGCACCCAGTGTGGCCTCCTCTGACAAGCCCACCCTCTGCCATCCAAAAGGTAAGAAGGCTCAGGCCTTCCTGTTCAGAAAGGCACACTTACACCAATGGGCAGACTGCTGAAGTGTACCAGGTAAAGAGATATTGGCAATCGGAGGACTCATGAAGGAATTCGGGGATGCCTTCTTTGGCCTGCTCACTGCAGTGGAAGAAAATGGTTGAGGACACAAATTTGGTTGGGTCTCTGCCACATTTGGAGTCGGAGGAAAACACGACATCCAGATCATCATCTACAAAGAAAGGAAAGATTGGGATCATTTCACTAGAAGCAGGAACATCTCATCCCCCCCACCCCCAAATACCAAGAGCTATAAACAGAAGATAATATCACGTAATTGCAACTGCTTGGATGAACCCTTCAAGTCCAGTATTATCCAAGTATTTTAACATTGTTCCTTACCTTACTGCAGTGGTTCTCAAACTTCCTAATGCCGTGACCCCTTAAGACAGTTCCTCATGTTGTGGTGACCCCCAACCATAAAATTATTTTTGCTGCTACTTCATAACTGTAATCTTGCTACTTTTATGAATTGTCATGTAAATATCTGATATGCAGGACGTATTTTCATTCATTGGACCAAATTTGGCACAAATACCCGATACGCCCACATTTGAATACTGGTGGAATTGAAGGAGGATTGACTGTCATTTGGGAGTTGTAGTTGCTGGGATTTATAGTTCACCTACAATCAAAGAGCATTCTGAACTCCACCAATGATGAAATTGAACCAAACTTTGCACACAGATCTCCCATGACCAACAAAAAATACTGGAAGGGTTTGGTGGGCATTGACCTTGAGTGTTGGAGTTGTAGTTCACTTACATCCAGAGAGCATTGTAGATTCAAACAATGATGCATCTGGATCAAACTTGGCATGAATACTCAATATGCTCAAATGTGAACACTGGTGGATTTGGGGGGAAATAGACCTTGACATTTGGGAATTGTAGTTGCTGGGATTTATAGTTCACCTACAATCAAAGAACATTATGAACCCCACCAACGATAGAATTGAGCCAAACTTCCCACACAGAACCCCCATGGCTAACAGAAAATACTGTGTTTTCTTATGATCTTTGGCGACCCCTGTGACACCCCAGGGGTCCTGACCACCAGATTGAGAAACTCTGCCTTACAGGGAAGTAACATTGGACTCTAGCCTGCCTATCAGTTAACGGAATGTTTTCAAAAGTGCATCAACATATGCCCTGCAGAGAATACATCCGGCATAGAATATATCCATGTCCCTGATCAGGCCACACTTTTTTCAGCCTTAAAGGAAGGCAAAAGCAAACCTTCTCAGAAAAAAGCTTGCCAAGAAAAAAGCAACTGTAGATTGGGCTTAGAAATGACTTGAAGACACATATTGACTCCCACCCATTTTAACATCTATTTGAACAAGTTAATGCCATGTTTAGCCAAAATTGACTATCCTTCACCAACAATCAGGAACAGAAAGAAATTCATCCTGATGTATGCAGATGATTTAGTGCTCCTATCCCTTTCCCAGTTGGGTATTTAAAATCTCTTGAAGGCTAACGGTAAATACTGCCAAGAAGAATATCTATCAATAAACAACTCCAAGACCAAGGTGACTGTTTTTGGAAGACACTGTCCCAGGTACAAATGGATTTTAGACCAACATGCCATAGAACAAACCCACTTATTTAAATATTTGGGGATTGTTTTCAGTGAATCCCTTTCCAGAAAACATCACAGGGAAAGCAGGGATGCTGAAAGCTGAAAAAACAATAGGTGCCCTAAACATATCAATTTAAGTGATTACAGTTGTAGTCCATTTCTGTATGAAAAGCTCCTTGGAGACCAAGGAAGTAATGAGCCATTCAAAAGTAGAAACATGGAAACAGAAATGGAGTAAAAGTAAAAGAAAAGCCCTTCATACTGTGGTATTCAACTGTGCTTGTTATACTATAAATTGTCAAAGTAAATGCCTATTTACCTTGAATGTAATATTTTGCCTTGTCAGAAGATCCAATTCTCCGTTTGCGGGATTCTGATTTTTTAACCTGGCATATGTTTGCTCCCAAGCATTCCTCATTTTTTGATTGAGTGATAGAAGAAAGCTGAATCTCATAAATGTAGATATCACCATTTGCTCTGATATCACCAGAGGCATTGTATAATCTGAAGCAGAGCAGATTTAAATCAAATTTAAATCAAATTAAAATAAAATGTAACCACAATCAGTATAAAGATAAAAGGTATTAGTCAAAGATTCAGGACCTATTCCTACAGTTCATAATTCTCTATCCAAGAAGGTTTGTGTAGCTTTAAAATTTTCAAGCCCAGTTCCATCTAACAGGGGAGAACAACATCTGTTCAATTAATTTGTGCCCGTACATGTTGTTTTATTTCAACCCCAACAATCTACTGGGGTTTGGAAGCCTAAGGGCCAACTCAGAATCTTGTAAGCGTTTCTGTTGCAATCAATTTCCATTTTCCTATGTATTGTGAAATTGAGAGGGGTACAGTGGATTATAGTCATAATCTGAATCTTCTAAATGGCAGGCAGTGGCAACCATATGTTGCTTGATTTTTCCCAGTCCCTTCAGAGAAAGTCTCCTGGAGCAATTTAGCCCTTTCCTTTTCTACTACTTTTATTATATATACTTTGGAGAGACTACTTACTTGTAATAGATATCACCCAAACTGAAATTTGCCCCAGTCACTGGATTTATCACTGTGCCATTCTTTATAGTTACTTCTTGAGGTTTCACTGCACAAGCTGCCCGCGTTTCCCATGTGATGTAATAGGCACAATTTTCTTCATCAATCCTAATAAGAAACATTTCAAAAGAGAGCTACAAATCTGGAAACAATAAATGCCAGCAGTAGCAAAAACCATGAGACTCAAAAGTAACACACACACACTCCAAGATGTATCATCATCTTTACTTTTGTCTGAGGTTAAGTAATAGAGTTATCAGTGTCTGTAGCACTTTGTTTTCTATTCTCATTGAAGGCACCTTTTAAAAAAGAACCATCAAAATCTACTGTCCATTCCAAGGAGAAATTTAGAGAACTGCCTAGGAGATGGCTTTAGAGAGAATGCTTAAAAGATGACATTTACACATATTCTACAGCAGAGATATGTTTAAGGTGTTAAGATTAAGATGATGATGAATTTCTATTTATCTTGCTTTTATCCCCAATATTAGGAGCCAAGGTGGCTTGCAAAACTAAAATATAAACAATGAAAGTGAAGTAAAAGTATACCCACTACTTTAAAATATAATTCAGCAATCCCTAAAATTGAAGTCCCTTTAAAACGGGTTAATTAAAAAAACAGCAGTTAAAAACACGCCATAAACAGCACATCATGAAAAGCCCTCAGTGTCAATTCCTAGAAAGCCATGAAATTGTGACAGATCCCAAAGCCTAGGAGCAGCTAGTCCTCTTTCGTGTTCCCACCAAAACACATCTGGGAAGGTAGCAGGGCTGAAGATCTCAAGTCCTGGCAAGCTTATAGGGATGTACTCTAAATTAGTAAGTAATGGAAGTAACTATCCAAGAAATCCAGGATTATCAATAATGGTCTAACAACTCAGAATAACTGAAGCAGAGGTGCACGGAAAATTCCTAACTCCTCTCCAAATACTTCTGCTTGAATTTTTTTCCAGTTCTCCAGCTATCTGAGGAATGCACAGGAAGGAAATGTGCTTCATCAGCAGAACTATATATATTCTTATGCTTACCTATCAAATCTAGGCATGCCAACTGTTTTTGCACATTTGAGCTCTATGACAGTTGTTGCTTTCTTCCCCCTCTGTTGACATTCATGACCATTGGAGTAACTGACAAGGACTTTATCACCTGAAACAAAATTAATAACAAAAGAAGCCCTTGAATTCAGAGGTTCTCATTGGTGGAATACGTACACTTGCTGCAATGCAAAATTAGTCTAGATTGGATGCAAAGTTTTAATAGTAATTTTAAAGAACCATTCCTCAATCAATCTCCTGAGAGGGTGATATGATATTTTGCACCAAGCTGACATACTATGGAGGATGACGGAGGAATAATTCTTATAACATACCATAAGTGATAATTCTAACAATAGAGTAAACATATCAATGTCCTTCTAATTCATGTTTGCAAAAAAAAAAAAAGCAAAGTTTGAAAACAAAAGAAAAAGAAAGAAAAAAAAAAGGGAAACCTAAATGTTAAACCATGTGAACCATCACCAACAGTAACCTTGGCACCAGTATCTATCCCTTTTGACCTTATTCCCTTCAGAAAACCTGACCGGGACTGTCCCTTCTCAGTCCAATATTTTAAAGTATATCATGTGATGTTAAATTATTCAACTTATCTCTCAACATTATCTAAATATGTGATGCAAAGCTGAATGATCACTGTGTGTGGTGAAATCATTTTTTTATTCTATAAAAAGGATTAATCAGTTCTTTCAGCAATATTTAATATTTTGGGGAGAAGTTAGGATTTTCAACCATTACTGGAAACCCTGCACAAACCTTAACACAAAGAATGGGGAGGGGGGGGGGTGGAATCTACATCCTTAGGATTTATAGCAAAACATGTACCAGTTCAAACACAACTGAACTGCACTTATGGTTGTGATGCATTGAGGTTAAGAAGGCAATTAGAAGTCCATTTTAAGTAGACAAAGTGCAATGAAATATGAATTTTAACACAGGTTTTAAAATTAAAAGTAAGGGAAGATAATAAAATACACTTTGCATGGAAGATTTTCAACAGATAAAGACTAAAAAGTCTTTCATTGTGTTCCCTCTCCCATTGTAAGCAAGAGCTTCAAAAGAATCACTATACCTGTCACATTCAGTTTCTGAGTATGCACTAATCCCAGAACCTGCACGGCTCCATTTGGATTTTTTCGGCAAACACTTGCCTGTTCAGGGCAGCCTGTGGGACCTTCGTGGACTCTCTGACAGAGATTCATGTAGTAACTAATAACAAAAAAAAAAAAAAGGAAAGATGCAACCCAGCACTGCAAAATGAACAGGCCTATAGAAACATAATATATTGATATGAAGCAATTTATTCTCACTCCTCAAGCAAGAAAAACTGTCAGGTCAACTATAATTGGAAGTTTAAATTCAGCATATATACAAGTTGATTCAGGAAACTTGGGAAAATTACACTGACTGAGCAACCTTGCATAACTGCACTTATTTTACCAATTTATTCTGGCTACAACTACCTTGGCAGGTGTTTAAAATCCCATTCTCAGCCCTGGAAATTTGATTAAGCAATCTTTCTGCCATAAGAGATTCAGAAGACAGTTCATACACATTCTGAATTATATCTGCATGGCTACGGGTTAATGGGTCCTTTTCTTTAAAATAAAAAAGATATTGAGAAAACCAAACATCATACCCAATTATCACTGTTTATGTATTATATGAGTCCACACACATGAGAACATTCCCATTTATTGCCTTCAAGATACAATTCTGTTGTTTAAGAAATTTTCCAGAACATGTCCTGTTATAATTGTGTAAAGACTGTTCTTTCAGAGAAAAATTGGTGCAGAAACACCTGCAGTACTGGGGAAATGGTACTAGGAGCTATCTTTGGCCAGAACAATGCACTTTGCCTACCTTGCTCTACATTAAATGAATTGAACATTTGCAATTTCTCATACAATTTCCCCTTTATGGCTCCCATAAATTCTCCAATGTAGCATAGGAGTTTCAGTGCTGGATGAGGGACTCTAGAAACCCAGAGTTCAAATTCTCTCTGAGCAAAAGAAACAAATGGATGACTTTGGGCAGATTGCACTCCCTTAGCTTTAGAGCAATGGTTCTCAACCTGTAGGTCCCCAGGTGTTTTGGCCTACAAATCCCAGCCAGTTTACCAGACGCTAGGATTTCTGGGAGTTGAAGGCCAAAACATCTGGGGAACCACAGGTTGAGAACTACTGCCTTGGAGGAAGGCAACAGCAAACCTCTTCGACCAAATCTTACTAAGAACACCCTAGGAGAGGGTTGCTGTAAATCTGGGGCAACTTGAAGCCATAAACAAAAAAGAACAAATACATCTTAGTCTTTTTCGGAATTCTTCCCTGCCTAGTAATTTCTTGAATTATTTCAAACTTGGTACAAGCAGTCCCCAAGTTACATCCAACTGACATAAAACTCCTAGTTAAGAACATGGGTAAGACAATAGAAAGTGACAGGAAATCTCCCCCTAGGAAGGGAAATCCACTCCTGGACTCTGAAGCTTTCTCACCAATCTTTGTTTTCACAACAAGCCATTTTTTTCCAAAATTCAATTATCACAGGGAGAAAAAATGGGGTGAAATCTTCTAAACAGAGGCATAGACAGCAAAGCAAACATTACAGGGATTTTAACCCTTCTCTTTGCTATCCAAATCTTCTATTTATTTATCTACATTTGCCCTTGCGCTGTGCTACTCTGCTGCTGAGTACGCATGCCCAGTGTGGAACACATCTCACCACACTAAAACAGTGGATGTGGCTCTTAATGAGACACAGGATGTTTACGCCCACACCACTGGAGAAATTACACTGCTTAGCCGGTACCTGACATCTGCCGGGAAGTTGCAGCCAATAGTGAAAGGACCAAGGCAGTGACATCTCCAGCTCATCCCCTGTTTGGGTATCAGCCAGCACGTCAACGACTTAAATCAAGAAATAGTTTTCTTAGATCTACAGAGACACTCGCTGGAACACCTCAGCAAGCGAGAGTCCAAAAGTGGCAGGCTCAAACCCAGCACCTCAATCCATGGATGATACCAGATGAGAGACTCCCCCTGGGCACACAGAGGACTGGGCGACTTGGAAGGCGCTGAACAGACTGCGCTCTGGCACCACGAGATGCAGAGCCAACCTTCAGAAATGGGGCGACAAAGTGGAATCCTCGACATGCGAGTGTGGAGAAGAGCAAACCACTGACCACCTGCTGCAATGCAACCTGAGCCCTGCCACATGCACAATGGAGGACCTTCTTGCAGCAACACCAGAAGCACTCCAAGTGGCCAGATACTGGTCAAAGGACATTTAATCAACTACCAAAATCACAAATTTTGTATTTTGTCCTTTTTGCTTTGTTCTGTTAGAAATGTAATATAAATGACTGGTTGCTGATGACTCGATAAATAAATAAAAATAAATAAAAAAATCTACATTTGGATGAAGTTACACTTAAAAATGCACCTGTGCCAACTTACATAAAATTCAACTTAAGGACAAACCTACAGAACTTATCTTGTTCAAAACCCAGAGACTGCCTGTATTCTAATAAGGCCTGGCCATTGCAAGAAGCAAACTGAGCAGCACCAGCAGTACTGGAATGCCTCACTGTGTACCTTTCAGGCCTGTGCTTTCACTATTATTTTATTGATACCACATACATAGGGACTAGAAATCACTTAGCCAAAAGAGGGCAAAATTGGTCAGTAGACCTTGGTTAAGAATGTAGGAAATTCAATTCTTTAAGAAATTTTAACAGCTTCCTAAGTGAATAATACACATATAATTTAAATGTGTTTTTAACTGTTGTTGACTCACTTGCTCCCATTTTAATAAATTTTTACTTTTATCTCTTTTACCCTTGTCATGAGCCACTCTGGGAGAAAGGCAATAACAGTCATAAATAAATACACAACTTCCAGCTGTGCTTCCAAAAGAAACTATTCTCGACCCACTAATTTCAATGTGAAAGAACCACCTTCCTGAGGCCAGATTCTATTATCACAAGACTGAAAGCCACATACAAAACGTGGAAGTTAACTTCCATGTTTTCTAGGTGGTGCTTTCCATTAAAATTCTAAAATACACTCACGATGAGCTGTCTTTGTCAGCAAAGACCCAGGATCCTGTGAGGGAGGAAAGCACTCTCAAATCATAGGTTTTGTGCTCCTGAATAAACTTGCACTCCATTTTCCTGGGTGGGCAGACAACTTGTGTTTTCCATTCAAATGTTACAGCACAGCCAAGTGTCTCACTCAAAAGCTGAGGACTCCCATTTCCAGCATTGTCATCACATTTGAAAATAATTGTAGATTCTCGATGTCCGAATACTGCAAGACATGAACATTTATCATCATAAACTACTGTAAAAACCTATTTTCTGTAGATGTACAGTACAATGCCCATATCATATGTTCCTCCACCACCACCACTCCAGCCTGGATATTTGAAACCTCAGATAATAGCAAACTGTATATTCTGACTGTACTGGAGGGCTTAGAGAGGCCTACAAACACTTCCGTTAGGCGGCGGACTATCCATCTTTGAAGATATTGAAACAGAAGTTGGATGGGTATCTTTCATGAGTGCTTCATTTGTTTGTTTTTTTTTAAATAATCTTTATTAGCTTTTTCTTAAAATATACAAATAGTGTTGACAGGGGAAGAGAAAAAGAAGAAAAAAAATAACAAAGAGAGAGGGAGAAAGAAAAAAAAGAAAAAAAAAGAGAAGAGGTGATGGGGAAAGAGAGAAGAAATTGGGGGAGAGGGGAGTGAAACAGGATCCGAAAGAGAAGATCGGAAGGCCAAAGATAGCAATAAAGAGAAAGAAAAGAAAAAAGAGTGAAAAAATAAAGAAAAGAAATAAAATCTTGACCTCCTGGTGTCTTCTTGGAATCTTCTGTTCAGTATTGTCCATAAATTTTATTGGTTACTTCAAATTCTTCTTTTTCTCTCCCTAGTTGTTTTTGAGTTACAGTCTATATATCTTTTTCAGATCTATGTTCCTTTTTTTCTTTTTTTTCTTAAGTATTCCAGGACTTCTTGCCAGTTTGTTTCCTTTCTCTCAATTTCTTTGTTCTTCAGTATTAGGAAGGTCAGCCTGTCTAGATTGCTGATTTCTAGTATTTTTATAATCCAGTCCTCTTCTTTCGGCGTTTCTTCTTGTCTCCATTTTTTTGCAAAGCAAATCCTCGCAGCTGTCAGTGCTAGGAATAGGATTTTATCCTTATCTTTTTCCAAATTCTTTTCGTACATTCCTAATAGGAAGATCTCAGGTTTCATTGGCATTTTTAATTTTAGCATAATTTGAATTTCATTTTGTATTTTTTTCCAATATTCCCTCGCTTTCTCACAGCTCCACCACATGTGGAAGAAGGACCCTTCCTTCTTTCTACATTTCCAACACGTGGTGCTTGTGTTATTGTATACTTTACCTAGTTTTTTGGGGGTTAAGTACCACCTTAGGGACATTTTTACCCAATTCTCTCTTAGCTCTATGGCGTATGTATATTTTAGTCTCTTTTTCCAAATTTGTTCCCATTCCGCTTGCCTAATGTTCCTTCTTAAATTTTCATTCCATCTTTTCATATAGTGTTTTTCTGTTTTTGTCTCTAAATGCCATTCTAAGAGTTTTTTGTATATCTTTGTTATCAGTTTCTTCTCTGAGACCATAATTCTGTCCCAAAAATCGTTTCCCTGGGCAAATCCTAGTTTCATATCTAATTTATACTTTTCTTTAATCTGCCAATACTGTAGCCATGTTATTTTCCTATCTATTGTGTTAAGTTCATGTTGATCTTTCAAGACTAAGATTCCTAAATGGTTTTTCAGGATCTCCTTGTATACCGGCCAATCGTTCCAGCCCAAACACCTCCTCTGGCCTGCTTCCAAAGGCGACACCCATAGTGGCGTTTTCTTATACATTTTCATTTTATATTTCTCCCATACTTTTAGAATTGAAGATCTTGTAAAATGATTTCCGAAATTTTTTTCTTTTTCTTTCCCTTTGTACCACATATATAGGTGCCATCCTCCCCTGAGGTCTATACCTTCTACTGTCAATAGTTTCCTCTTTTTTAACATTGCCCAGTCCCTGGCCCATATTAGAGCACATGACTCATAATATAATTTTAAATCGGGTGTTGCCAATCCTCCTTTTTCTTTTTGTTCTATTAAATTGTTATAATGAGTTCTTGGTTTCTTATTATTCCAAATGAATTTAGTTAAGTCTTTACTCCATTCCTTAAATAAATTTGTGTTTCTAACAATGGGTAGATTTTGGAAAATAAATATCATTTTTGGTAGTATTTTCATTTTAATTGTCGCTATTCTCCCTAATAGAGATAAATTCTTGTCTTTCCAGTTTTCCAATTCTTTCCTAATCTCCTTCCATTTATCTAGATAGTTGTTTTGCAGCAATTGTAAATTTTTAGCTGTTAAATTGATTCCCAGGTATTTTAGTTTCGTTACTGTCTGTATATTCCATTTTCTACTTATTTCTTCTTGTTCTTTCTTTGTAATATTTTTTGTTATTGCCTTTGTTTTTTCTAAATTCATTTTGAATCCTGCTACTTTACCAAAGTTATTTATTTCTTCTAACCATTTGCCTAATTTTTTGGGGGGATTTTCAATTATACAAATTATATCGTCGGCAAAAGCCTTATACTTAAAATCCTGCTCCTGTATTCTTGCCCCAGTTAGTTCTTTCTCCTCTCTAATTCTCTTCAGTAGGACCTCCAAAGTTAAGATAAATATTAGGGGGGATAAGGGGCATCCCTGTCTAGTTCCTTTTTCTATTTTTATCGTCTCTGTTTCCATGCCATTCACTAAAATCTTAGCTTCCTGATTTTCATAAATTGCTTCAATTGTGTTTTGGAAATAATAACCCATATCAATTTCTTTTATTAAACATTTAAAGAAGAGCCAATTAACATTATCAAAATCTTTCTCCGCGTCTACCGCCATAAACATTACTTTTTTTTGATGATTAATTTCATAATATTCAATTAAATCGATTATTGTCCTCACGTTATCTTTCTGATACCTTCCGGGTAGAAATCCTGCTTGATCCTCATCTATATATGTTGTGAGTACCTTTTTCATTCTTTCTGCTAGAATATTGCTAAAAATTTTGTAATCTACATTCAGTAGTGAGATTGGCCTATAGTTTTTTACCTCTTCCGAATTTGAATTTTCCTTATGTATTAATGTTATATTTGCTTGTCTCCAAGAATTGGGTATTTCTTTATTTATTCTGACATTATTCATTACTTCCTTTAAATAGTGTATAAGTTCTTGTTGAAATGTTTTATAGTAGCCTCATGAAAGTCCATCAGGTCCTGGGGCTTTATTTGGTTTAAGATTTTTTATTGCTATTTTTATTTCTTCTTCCGATATTTCTTTATTAAGAATTTCTCTTTGTTTGTCCGATATTTTTTGTAATTTTTGTTTTCCCAAATAATGGTAGATCTTTTCCTGGTCTATGTTTTCATCTTGGTACAGTTTTTTATAGAAATCAAAGAATTGCTTCTTTATATCCTCATCTTGAGTGTATGTTATATCTTTATTCTTTATTTTAGAGATATATGTCTTTTCCTTCTTTTTCCTTAGTTTGTTTGACAACCATTTTCCAGGTTTATTTGCATTCATAAAAGAATTTTGTCTTAAGTATTTCAGCTGTCTTTCCCTTTCCTCTAATTCTAAATAGTCCAATTGTTTACGTAGATAGTTCAGATTATTTAATATCTCCTTTTTATTCGGATTCTTTTTTAATTTATCTTCCTCTTTTTTTAATTCATCTAGAATCTCCTTAGTCTTTTGGGCTTTTTGTTTATTTTTTATTGCTTTTTGCTGTATGAAGTTGCCCCTAACTACTGCTTTACTCGCTTCCCATAGCGTCAATATATCTGTGTCTGAATTATCATTTATCTCAAAGTAATCTTTTAAGCTTTTCCTGGTTTTTTCCACATCTTCTTCTCTTTTTAACAAATTTTCATCCAATCGCCATCTTCTTAATTTTTCTGAGAGTTCTATCTTTACTTCTATTGGACAATGGTCCGATTCGATCCTGGGTGTAATCTGAATGTTCCTTACTTTTCCTAGTATCATTGGTGATGCCCACGCCATATCGATTCTTGACCAGTTCTGAAATCTGGCCGAATAATATGTATAGTCCTTTTTATTTTCATTTCTTATTCTCCATATATCCTTTAAATTTAATCTTCCCATTAATTTTATTAGTGATTTGGGTAAATTACCTTTATCCCTGTTTTTTTTTTTGTAATATAGTTTCTTTTACTTCTATCTAAATCTCTGTCTAGGACTCCATTGAAGTCTCCTACAATTAGAAGATGATCGTATTCTTGTTCCTCTATATATTTTTTTAACTTTTCTGTAAACTTAATTTTTGATTCGTTGGGTGCGTATATGTTACAAAATAAAAGTTTTTGATTTTGAATTTTGATATTGATTCCTAATATTCTGCCTTCCCCATCTTTAAAAGCCAGTTCTGCCGGTATGTTATTATTTACATATGTTACCACCCCCCTTTTTTTTCTTGTGCAGAGGCTATAAATGTTTGGCCTAATTTCTTATTTTCTAAGTGGGCTATGTGATCTTGCTTTATGTGGGTTTCTTGTACAGCTACGATATGAAACTTTTTCTTAATGAGTCTGTTAAAGATTTTATTTCTTTTAAATTGTGAGTTAATACCATTAATATTATTAAAATATATTCGTAGCTCATTCATCCTTGACATTCTTGTTCTGTTGGACCATCCGCCTCGTCCTCTTCTTCTCCGTCTCTCGGTTCTTCTCCTACTTCTCCTTCCTCATTCTCTTTTTCATCTCCACCCTCCTGGATTCTTTCTTCTGTCTGGCCTTCTTCTCTAGGTTTCTCTCTTTCTGGATTATCCTGATTTCCTTCTTTCATGTCTTCTTTTTCATTTTCCTTTTCTGTCATCTTCTCTTCATCCTCTCTTTTCTTTAGTCTGTCCCTTTTCGATTTTTTGGTTCTGTCTCTTTCTTCTGTTCTTATCTTTTCTAGGAACTCCTTTGCCCTTTCCACATTCTTGATCCAATATCGTTGGTCTCTGTATGTTACCATTAAACCTTCCTCTCTTTCCCATCTGTACCTTATTCTGTATCTCTTTAATTCTTCTGTTAAGAAATTGTATTTTCTTCTTCTTGACAGTACCGTGTTGGGGAATTCCTTCAGGATTATGATTTTTTTCCCTTGTAGTAAACTGTTCTTCTATTGTTTGTTTTGAGGACCTCGTCTCTTGTAGTTTTTTTCGCAAAATGCACCACCACGTCGCGTGCGACTCTATTTTTCATAGCGAAATTTGTGTTGACTCTGTAAACTCTATCCGTTTGGTCCTGCATCTCTTGATCTGTGTATTCCAGCAGTTCAGCTAGAATTTCTACCACCTTGTCTCGTATATTTTCCTTTGGATCTTCCTCTATATTCCTCAGGCGTAATTGAATTCCAGTTCTTTCGTTTCCATCCTTTCACATCTCTCTTCAAGTCGCGCTGTTTTTTGTTCTAAATTTCTCATCTTTTCCTGTAAGCCCTCCTGTGCTTTTTTGATTTCTTTCTTTTCCATTTTCAGTTCTTTTAGTTCATGCTGCATTAGGGTAAGTTCCTTTTTTACTCCTCCAATTTCCTCTTTTATCTCCTTCTTTATTTCCGCCATTTGTTCTTGGGATTTCTTTTGGGCAAAATCTTGTTTCTCTTGCACTGTTTGGATTTCTTTCATCACTTTCTCTGTCATTTTCTCCAGAAGTTCTTTCAAGTTATGTTCTTCCAGTAGGGAAGCCCTCCGTGTGGGTCCTTTAGCTTCTTTTAGTTCTTTTTGTTCTTTGTCCAGTTTCTCACTTTTCTCACCTTTCTCGTTTTTTTCTGTTTTATTTCTTGTGTTATACATCTTGAGGTCCTTTTTCTGTGTCAGTTGTTTCTTCTTTTTTATTATTTATTTATTTCTTCTTCAGTCACCAGATTCTTCAATCGCCAGGTCTTTATTCTAGGGGAAAGATATTACATGCACTTTTTTAAATATTATTATTATTATTTATTATTATTATTATTTCTTGGTTATTATTATTTATTATTATTTATTTCTATTTTTTGCTGTGTATCTTTTGTTTCTTTTGTACTGTTGGCTCAGTCTTATTCTTTGCACTTTTATATTGATTACAATTTTTTCTTTTCCCCTCTACCTTCTTTCTGGCCTCCGTTTCTTCCTACTTCGTTTTGCCACCCGCTTCACCTCTTTCAGCTTACCGTCTTGATTTGTTAAGCCTCTTTTCTTATGTTTCCTTGTCCCCTCTTTTACTTTTCCCAGCTTCAGTGGGTTTCTTCTGTCCCCTTGCTTCCTTGTTTTGCTCTCCCTTTGTCTCCTTCCTGCTTCCAGTTCTCGCGATTTTTGGTTTGTCTCGTTCGCCCCTGTCTTCTCGCGATGGCTTCTCTATTCACTTCAATTTACTTCCGTGTTCTCATTCTCGTCCCAACTCTCGCCTCTCTTCTGTCCTCTTGCGCGATTTCCCGGTCTCTTCTCTTTCCGCGTTGTTCCGCGTTGTTTTGGTGTCGCCGCGTCACTGGTGCTCAGGGCGGGCTCATCCCTCGTCTCTCTCCTCCTCCGTCCTCCGTCCCTCGCTGCCCCTCCCTTCTCCTTCTTCGTAGACAAAACAAATCTGCTCTCAAGGTCAGTATTTCCCTCTTCCTCCGTATATTATTTGCAATTGCAATTATTTGCAATTATGCAATTATGCTTAGTATACTTGGAATAGCAGGGTATCACAGGGCTTGAATGTTAATCGTTAAGCTATTCTGTTCTGTTCTGTTATAATATCGATTGTAGTATTGTAATATTGTATATGCTGTCTTCTTGTTCCCTTATTCTCTCACTCTCACTCTCAAGTTACTTCTCTGCTTTTGCACACTTGACTATTTGTTGTTTAAATAATCATATACTCTTACTGACGATCTCCTACTCCTTGTGTAATATTCTTCATTCTTTTGCTCTTTGTCTTCTTGCTTTCCCTTCTAGTCGCACAGATAGATCACCCGGTCTATATTGTCTAGTAGAGCTTTTTATTCTTAATTTGGTTTGATTTAGTTTGATTTTAAATTACTGTCTCGCAAGATGTCTCTCTCATTAGTGCTTCTGTTCTATTCTGTTCTCTTCTTCCTCTTCCAATCCTCCTCTCTCTTCTCACCCCCTCTCCTCCTCCTCCTTTTAATATTTTCTCAGAACTTCTCTTTTTCCAGGGAAAGCTTCTAAGATTCCTTCCGACACCCCCTCCTTCCTTGTATCGTTCTTACCACCTCCTTCTCCTTCCTTCTTGGTTAAAAGAGCATGTGGCAGGAGATGTGCCGATCCTTTCTTGGATCTGCTGCGTTCTGGGTGACCCGCCGTACCTCGGAGTCATATACCGGGTCCTTTCAGAGATCTCCTCTTGAGGAGAAGACCCCCTTTCGGACCATTGGCTGACCCACCTGGTTTCGCTGTTCCCCCCTGCTTCAATCCACGGGGGGGAAGGGAGCTATGCTCTACCCGGTCTGCCCCAGCGCTCACACACTTCTGCAGAGCTATCAGTGTGTGCGACTCTCCGCCATGTTCATGCACATGTTCATGAGTGCTTCATTTGTGTATACATGCAAGGAAGGAATCTGGGCCAAATGAACCCTATTTTTATTTTATTTTTTATTTATTTTTTTATTTACTATGCTTCTATACCGCCATTCTCAACCCGAGGGCAACTTATGGCAGTTTACAAAATGGCAAAATTCGATGCCCACAACAGTACAAAAATAATTTAAACATTAAAAACATTTAACACAGGTAAAAAAATTCATTACAATTAACATCAGTAACACAATAAAAACTGTAAGTCCTCCGCGTAAGTCCTATAGTCCCATCCAACTCTTAAGTTTCTATGATTAGGACAATAAAGAACTATAGATATGTCTATGTGTTCCTGGATACCATATCTGTATATAATGGTGTTCCTTATTGCATTCTGATTCAAAATTGAATAAACCCATTTCTTCAATGATCTCATCTTAAATCTGTTCTCCATGAAGTTTATTTTTCAAGAAACCACAGGAGTTCAACCATCTGTTCCTTACCTCTGGCACTGTCAATGTATGCTCAAACGATATATAATAAAAGTTATTATAAACTAGGAGAGGGGAATCCTTGGACTAAAGCACAAATACAAGATATAGATATTCCCCATCTGTTCATAATGTTCTTCTGTTGCAATCTAAAATCACTGGTCAAAGATGAAGTGGATATTTAAGTCCCATGAAGCTCTGACTTGCAACTGAGTTCACTTTGCGTGCTGTATATTTAATGAGGAAAGGGGGCAAGGATTACATCTGTTTGTGCCAATATAATATGAGTAGCAATTCTCATAATGTCTGAACATAGTTGTGTATTTCCACTTCTTTTCCTCTGGCTGCTGCTACACATCCAGTTACCAACTTGTTCCGACACTATGTAAAACAGATTTTCAGTTTAACCCACCGGAGAGAGCAGGACTTGCTTACCATTCCCACAAAAGCCCCACTTGTTGTCTTTATCCATGTTTTCAGTCGTGGCACACCATGGACGCTCATGGTCTTGTCTAATACAATCGGAATAGGATTTACCCTTGTACTGGAAAGGGAAGACACACACTTCACCCATTTCAGTCACTGAAAATAAAAGGAGAAAAATCAGAAACATGTAGAGGGAAGGAATGCACCTCTCACATAAACATGGTAATGTGACATAAGCCATTCTTAACTATACCATATACAGAGACATTCCTTTTGTAAAGACACATCCATATCCACATTTCTAAAAGCTGTATCTAATGCATTTTGGGAAAATTAAGTCTCAAGATCTCCATGGAGAAAGACCTCATGAAAAATTCCTATCTTGGCCTAAGTTACCTCTCTAAACGGGAAAACTATGTCTTCAAAAGAACTGCTGCATGGATGTCAAACAAATAATCTTACAAACTGCTTAACCAAAATTCTGAATAATGCAAGAATTGGAAGTACTCCTTTAGTAGCAGCTTTAAGAAGCCTTACCTGGAGGACACATATCACCACCCTTATACTGCAAAATGACAGCTTCGTCTTGATGCCGGTAGTCCATTTTCATTTCATTTCTGTTGCCAAATGAGGTAGCCTTGTTGCCAGAGACCAAACATACTGCTGCATCTTTGCATTTTCCTTGGGGGACATCTGCTGCATTAGAACAGACCCCTAAATGGTAACTCCTGCTTCCAGAAAGGACCTGAATGCGCAAGCAAAGCCACACTGTTAACCAAATTGTAAACAGGACAATACAAACTGCCAGAATATATCCATACACTGATGTTTAGTAACTCTGGAGCAGAAACCTAGCATGACATGGCTGTCATTTTGGTTTAACACTTTAAAAGCAGTGATTTAAAAACACTCCAGGTGTTTTGGACTTCAACTCCCAGAAATCCCAGTCATCTTACCAGGTGTTAAGAATTGTGGGAGTTGAAATCCAAAACACCTGGAAGCCCAAAGGTTGGGAACCACTACTTCAAAGGATCAGCAAAAGATTGTACAGTGAAACCTACCCGGCAGTGACAGAGTTACTATGGTTGTTCTTTGTGAGCAGATATTGATGTTGGTTTCAAGGGAGAAGAGCTTTTCAAAAAATGTACTACTAAAGCTGTGATCATACTAACTTAAAAGAATGTAATATGCTCCAACATTGCTCCCATTTAGCCCCCTGGACTGCCTCCTGCATTTCTCCTATTTCAGCTAAGGAAAACACAACATACTTCAACTTGAAGCTTCTACTCTAAAAAGGAATCACGTTCATATTGTGGGAGTACCTAAAGAAATCTTCAGAAATGAAGATGTACACAACAAACCTATAAAGACACATACAGTACCAACTGCAAATTAGAAATATTTTGGGAGGGAGCACATTACCATGGCTGGTATACAACAGATCAAGCAGGGATACCGACAGCTTGTATCATGCACAACATGTGTAGTACTACTAACTTACAGAATGCAGCTAATACCAACTCTTTCTTTTTCATGATAGTAAGAAAAATTAGTCAAAGTATACAGCTCCTTTATTTGCCAAAGCAGCACATCACCTTGTAAGATTTTCCAGAAAGGCTTGATAAGTTGAAAGGGAAGTGCAATTGCTCATCAGTCAGAGAACAACCGGAAACCTCCACTTTATCAAGGCAGACAACTGGAGTGCTCCATTCAAATATATATTCGCAATTGGATTTGCCTATCATTTTGGGTTTGCCCTGTTGACAAAAAACAAAAAAAGGAAAGAAAGTGGTTCAGGTATGCCTTATCAAGAAATTCAAAATAGTATAATCCATGGTTTTAGAAATTAAACATATGCTAAAGTCAATGAGTTCTATTACATAATCTTTGTTTTAACATGTCTTCCCCATTCCACCTAGTTCCCACATATCAGATAGAATGGCAACTCCCAGAACTAGCCCCTCAACTGGCATAGTTGGCTGAGATATTCTGGGTATTGTACCCTAGGAGGTTGGGGAGGTTGGGGAGGACTGTAATAGGATGGTACACTTAACTTCAGAGGTCTGTTTTTCTGTCACCTGATTACTAGAGGCATTAAAGAACGTGTGACTACTGTAGCCATACGGGAAGAGCAGTGCTGCTACTTTTCACTTCAGCATGCCTGAAATTATAATTAATATTCCCTATATGACTAAATTTCCTATTACTGGGTTTTTATTGTAGAAATTCCCATGCCAAAAGGGGAAAAGGGGAGGGGGCAAATGTTGTGTTTTCACGCCAGTTTTGCAAGGAGAAATTCAGAGAAAAAACAAAGGGACTGTGTGTACTATGGTTTGTGCTCACACCTATGAAACCATCTGCCACAAAGTAATATACTGTATTTCTGCATAATTTGCAGATTCCTGAATTACCTGTTGCTTTATAAGTGAGTAAGATCAGGATAGTTGCAATGACTAAGTCTTCAATACAAACGTATCAAAAAAGGCACTCTAAGAATTGAAGTTTTCACTCAAAGATTCAGAACCAGATCTCTCCTCCTTATAAGATTCAAAGCCTTTTCTCATTCTACCCCTCTTGCTGTCACTACATTTATTACATCAGTATTGTTTCTGTAGCCCCCTTCTGTCCCTCATTCATCATCAAACATTGAAATGCTTTAAGCCAGGTCTATTTGACCTCTTCTAATCAGAATGCAACTAGTGCCTTAAATAATAATATTATGTAGGCAATAATTTTTTAAAGGTCAGCTTCAACAAATGTCTTTACTTCTGCAATTAAGACCAATTTGAACTAGTTCTAAAATGTGTGGGGAAAATAAGAAGTTGTACACAACTCAATAGTAGAGGATGGGAAATCTTAATTTCTGAACTTTAATGTTGATTTGGGATGCAGATTTCAAGGAAAATAAGAGAAACAAACAGGGCTCAGATCTGGATTAGGCTCCAAACCAAACTGGAGCGGTCCATGAATAGCCCTAAATTGCTATCCCTCCGTCATGAAAGAATAATGCTCAGATAGTGTCTATAAATTGAGGGCCTTGTACCAAGACTCCTGCAGCAACAAAATCTCACAAATTAGAACTCCGGAATTTTCCTGATATACTTCTGCAATTTTGTCTCCAAAACAAAACTCTTTCCCTCAAGCCTGTCAGCAAAGAAAGAGAATTCTTACCAAATTTGTTCCTCTACTGCAATGAAACACGATACGGGAGGAATAGTTGAGGCTTCTATCTTCTGGACAAGGAGTGTTACTTTTGTAAACAATAAAGACATCTTTGGTTTCAGCATTCAACTTGGGAGGGCCAACAATGCGACCAATATCCTAAATGAAAAACATTATTATGTGAATTGGTGTATTTTAACATAGCAGTTATCATAATGGTTTCATTTGTCATCAGCTGGTGTATTTATGATAACAAGAATACTTACCACTGGAGGACTAGCAAGTGGGACCATGCAGGCAGCTACTCCAGGTGGACAATTGACACCTCTGATAGGGTTCAGAGGTTGACAAATGTTTATATAAAAATCTGAACTGAGGTCAGAAGTGTCAGATGAGACATATGCCTCGTAGGAGCCAGATGGGTGTATCAAAGGAGAAAGGTCAATTATTGTACTGTCATTCTTCACTGAGCATTCCACCTGTTTATGAGGCCAAGGAAGGGAAGCAAGAAGACAATTCACAAATCAGAATGTCTGAGAATCAGCAAGCAAAACTGAATAGTTTATGAAGGTCTTACGACCTTTTCCCTCTATCAGATATGATACTGCGCTATTTTTGTTTCATCCCTGCTTAGATCTTCATTTGCTTTGTTGCCATGCTTTTGTACCTTTCTGTGTTCTAAATTAGATAACATTCCTCAATAGCAAATACCAGTAAAAGTCAACACAAGTTCAACGTGGCTGAAGAGGTTATCTTGCAAATCCCTCAACAACAAACCAGGAATGAGCTTGCAACACTGCCTAGGAAGAAGTCAGAAAAGCCATCAACCAACCTAGAAATCCCTGCTGAAATCTTTAAAGAAGGTGGGCTTGAGCTGACACAACTCAACAAGATCACTGAAAAAATATGAGTGACCAAAAAGAACTCCCTAGCAAAAAGGGAGAAAGAACGAACTGTGGAAACTATCAAAACTCCCTTTTAACCTCTGTTGCAAAGCTCTTCCCAAGAATCCTCACAAACCACCTTCTACCTATTTCAGAAGACATCCTCTCTGAATCTCAGAATGGCTTCCACTCCTCCACAGGAACAGTGGACATTATCTTTATCGCACGACAGCTCCAAGAAAAATACAGGGAACAAAATCAACCTTTGTACAATGCATTCATCCATCTTGCAAAGGCCTTTGACACAGTGAATCACAATGCTCTGTGGACCATCCTCTTGGAAATTCTGATAAATTTGTGAAATGTTGCAGCTCCTCCGTGATGGCAACAGTCTTGAACAGCAAAAGGGCCCATTTAAAGTGGAACCAGGTGTCAAACAGGAATGTGTTATTGCCTCAACCTTATTTTCCACCTTTATAGCTATGATTCAACAACTTGTGGGAAACTTCCCACCAGTGTGGAAATCATCTATCAGACAGATGGCAAACTGTTTAACCCCAGCAAGCTGAAAGCCAAAAGTAAGGTCACAACAACTTCTGTTATAGAACTCCAATATGCTGATTGTAATATAGTATGTGCTCATTCAGAGGAAGACCATTTCAACACCTTCCCAGGAGCCTATGAAAAACTTGGCCTCTCACTGAACATCGAGAAAACCAAAGTGGACCAACTAATCTACCAGTATGGACCAACCAATCCCTCTGGAATGCCAGCATTAAAGCTTCATTGTAACACTACAAAATGTTGACCATTTCCACTATGAAGGCAGCCACTTTTCCACAAAACTTGACATCAGTGTCGAAATACAACACTGCCCAAGCTCTGTGAGTGCAGCCTTTTTAAAAATGAAGCAAAGCATTCAAGGATCAGTTCTTTCATAGGGGTACCAAAACACTTGTTTATCAAAGTATTGTCCCTCCAACTCTATTGTACACCTGGGAAACATGGACTTCTACAAACATCACTCACTACTTTTGGAAAGATTCCATCAGCATTAATCTCTGAAAACTCCTACAAATCTTTTGGGAAGACAGGCAGACAAACATCAGTGTTCTGGTAGAAGCAAAGGCCACCAGCACTGAAGTGGTGATCCTCCTCCATCAACTTCGCTGGACCAATGCGGAATAAGTACTGAGAACTTGGAAGCCCTGGCCCTCAAGAGTTCTAACTGGAGGTCGGCTGTTCCCAACAGTGCTATGGATTTTGAAGAGGCATGAATAGAGGGTGAAAGGGATAAATATGACAAGAGGAAAGTAAATCCTTGTCATAACCACCTTCCACCTGGAAATCTTTGTTCTCACTACAAAAGACCATGCAGATCCAGAATAGGAGTCTACGGTCACTTATGAACCCACCTCAAAGACTCCCATTGGAAGGTGATCATACATGGTCACGAGTGATTGCCTATGATGACTGACTGAATTCTAGTCTAAGTCAGCAGTTACATCATTTTAAATATACGGGTCAAGACAAGAAAAGGTAACAGTTTTCACTGGCTCTTCTATCACAGGATTTAAGCTACTGCTTCGAGATCATGTTAGTTTCTAATGATGAAGATTTATTTCCTAACACACAATACTGCATTAACCTCAGATTAAAGAAGATCTCAGTTCACAATTAAAGCTAATTTTCCCCCCAAACATAGATGTAAGACTGCGAAGGAGGAATTTCAACTCTACTCAAATCCAGGACCTGGCTTCCATTCTCTTAACACCAGATAACATCATGTCAACTTTGAACCATCAGCAGGAAAGACATAATTTGCCAAGTATTTTACCAGCTTCTAACAACTTCAGTTCTATTGTTTTCTAATCAGAAAGTATCAAGGTATTCCAATGTAAGGAATCTTTGAGTTCTATATTATCACAAATTTCTGTAAAACTGTAGTAGCATAACACTCACTTTTTCTAACTTCAAATGTCACTGGCAAGCAATGCTACTATTAAGTTATATTTGTTCATAGAAGCTTGATAAAACTGCCAATTTCCTTACCACACTCTCTTCTTCACAGGCTATAGCAGTGTGCCAAGAGAAATAATAAGCACATGTCACTTCATCAAGAGAGACAAGGACAGGTTGGCTTCCAGGCCCAGCATCAGGTTTACACACAAAGCTGATATAGCTGGTGTACTTCAAACTGGAATCAGTAGGGCACGGCTGTCCTCCTTCATAGACAAGCTTCAGAACTCCATCCTCATAGGTTACAGTTTTATTCAGTTTTCCCGCATCAACCAATGGCTGATGACCATCAGTGACACAAACACCTGTCAACAAATTCAAGAGTGCAGGTGTATTTTTATTAGAGTCATTAGCAAAATGTGTCCCAATTATTTTACTTTGTATATCACATTTCACACTTGTTATTGAGTTGTTTCGTAAGTATATCCTGATGCTATTTGATTGTTTATTATTTGAAGGGCTTTATTATGTTAGGTTTCTCAGGCATTAGATGTTTGCCGATCTTTTATTGTACACCACCCTGAGTCCCTTTTGGGAGATAGGGCGGTATAGAAACAAATTATTATTATTATTATTATTATTATTATTATTATTATTATTATTACAAGTGGCAAGTGTTGATTCATCTAATTCACTGACAGGATAGATTAGTGTAACCAATACTAAAATAACTGATGGCATGTCATCTTTGATTCATGGTAACCCTATGAATTAAATAATTCTAAAATACCTTGTTTTTCATACTCCCTCCCTGCTCCTGCAAACTTAGATGCTTCCCCTTTTCCTACTGAACCAAGCACTTTAAACTTTTTCTAACAAGTCAAATTGCCTCATGATCTTCATTGTTTCAGCTTAATCATGTTGGCTTCTAAAACAATTGCTCTAGGATGTAGTTATTTGTTTTTTCAGTAATCTATGATACCTGCAGAACTCTCCTTCAGCACCATCTTTCAAATGAACTCTTCCTGTCATTTTTCTTCACTGTACAGCAAAGAAATATGATGGCATGAGTAGTCCTGTCTTTGGTATTAAAATGTATATTTATGAGGATTTTACCCAGCTCCTTTATATCTGAACTTCCAGGTTCCAATCTTTTGATTTCTTCACTACAGTCCCCATTTTGAATAATGACAAGAGTGAGGGTATAGAAAGCCACTATTTCTTCTCTGAAGTTACATAAATCATATGTGGCAGTTTGCTTTCTTAATGTTCAACTATAACTCTGTGTTTGAACTTTCTTCCTTGATGTTCCTAAACAGTTCAAATCTCTGCTATTTTTGTTAGTAGTATTGTCTCATTTGCATATCTCAAATTGTTCCATGTTCCTTTCTAAAAGTTTCATGCCTTCTTCCTTGGTATCTACTAAATTATTTTTCCCCATCTAAATTATATAGAGAGAGTGATAAACTGTCTTGACTCTTTTGCCAACTGGAAACTATTCTGTTTCTCCATAATCTATCTTGGCAGTAGCTTCTTGTCCTGAGTACAGAGCTTACTTATCAGGATAATCAAATGTTTTGACATCCTCTACAGTAAACCATCAAAGGCAAAAATGCTATAAAATCTTCAGCATCATTTTGCTTGTATGAAGTTTAATGCAATGGTCTGATAGCTTCTGCAATCCCCATTGTCCCCTATCTTTGAATCAGAAACGTGCAGGGTTTCAAAAAGATGGGCCCAATTTGAAATTAGTATATCTCATCAACCATGAACCACACCCATGAATGAAACTCTAACCACTAGGAAAGGCGGGGCAGTTTCCAATAATTTCCACCCAATGCTGCTCACATTGCACAAACAGCCCCTGATCTTAGTCATTCACAAGATGGCAAGCCCTCAACATAAAGCCAAAGAAAATATTCTCTATTTTCAGAGTAATTTTTTTAATTTCCTGCTCAAAATGGCTACTAAAGCTTGATAACCTATTAAACTGTTTGTAACTTTTTGTGTAATTAAAATATTATGTCATTGTGAAATATACTGCAGTTAGAATGTGAATACATTCTGTATCTGTAGCCTGAAACAGTTCTATTAATCTATTCCTGGTGATTTATTTCTCCCAAGTACTCTGAGAATGCCTTCTATTTCCCTTTCTAAAAACTACGTGTTTGTCAGCACAGCGTTCATAATATTGAATGTGTCATCCTTTCATCTCTGCTAGATAGTTCTTAAGTGTATTGGTTCAAGTCTCTTTTTTTCCTTCATAAGAGGATATGCTCCTATGTGGTTACATAGCATCCCCATTCCGGCTTTGAATGATCATTTGATTTTTCAGGTCTTCTGGAAAGATATCTTGTTCCACCACTTTTTATCGTCTCCTGCTAAAGCAAGAGTCAGCAAAGTGTGGTTCATGGGCAATTTTGAGGCCCGGGTAAGTAAAAAAAAATTCCTAATTTTTGCATAAAATATTTATTTCAAAATACCCCCTAAAGCCCCCACCAGGCAAGGGTGGGAGAGGACATTTCCATCATTTTTTCAGACTCCCTGTCCCTTTGATTCGAGCAAGTTTGCACCAAAATGTTATCTAAGGCACAAGGAGGCAATTTTCTATCATGTTTGGAGGCTACCACTAACCAATTTAGATCTTTTTGAAAATACAAAGTGAACAGAAAGTGACTTCTGCTTCCTTCTTGTTTAAAAAGGTTTTCCTGAGCATGAAATCGACCAAGAAAATCTAAATGGGGTCCCCTTTGCTCAATGTTGGAGTAACAAAAAATTCAGCATTAGTAAAGGATTTCTTGAATGCTACCTAGACGTTTACATGAATGTTAGCAACCGCATGCAGCATTCACAGTGGACTCTATAAAGAACACATTAGCTGCATTTCCTTCATTTAAAAAATCAGCCTGTTTAGCAAGCTTTGTAAGCGCTGATTTATAATCAGTAAATGTTTGGTTTTATATGTCTGAGTTCATGTAAAAAAAATCCTGATGGAAATGGGTCACAAAACAATTTCTTATGTGGAAAAGGGTCATGAGTGGAAAAAGTTTAAGAACTCCTGCCTTAGATAGCATTTGAGGGCTAAAGAGGAACATTTTCTTTTTGTGATAGTGGGTGTAACCCTCCAAGCTCTTGGGGGGTTAATGTGCCCCCTTACTCTTCTACAGTTTCCACCCCCTTTCTAAAGTGAAATATCAGCTTTGTTTGACAGTATCGGGGATTTCTGCCTGCCCCACAGAAGTATTTTCCTTGACAGTCCAAAAAGACATTGAGCAAGCTGCTCATTGGTTACACTGAGCTTACCAATTCCACTACCGCACAGATTTCTACCCTCGTCACAGACACTCAAGTGGAGTGTCCTGGATCTCCGCATGTCAGAGATAGTGTAGCCATCCTGTCTCTTCAGAGGATTAAGATCAAAAAGATGTCCTGTAATGAAACAGAAGAGAAGGAAGACAGATTAGCTTTCCTGTAAAAATATTACAAAAATATCGCCTGCGGGCTGATATGGGCGGGATATAAGTGATGTTAATAATAATAATACTTAAGATAACTCTAGATGGAAAAACAATATACATTCAAGAATCACATAATTCCAATTGTATTCCTTTCTCTGTTGCCCACATTTTGAAAGAAGAGCCAATGCTGCACATTAGATAAAGAAACCACATTCAGATCAGGCTGGATTTTCCTTTCAGTGGTGAACTTAAGATTCATTATTTCTCTCTCCCTACTCCAACTATCAGACACATATACAATATATATCCAAAAGTTACCTGTAAGAGGGTTGGATACTGTGCAATTATTGTGCACATTACTCTTCAGAGGACATGCTGCCGCTGTGAACCAGAGGAAAGTATATTCACAGTCCTCAAGGGCTGTTATAAGTTCTGGCTTAGAGTCCTGAATTAAAAAAAATAGAAAAAGCATCTTGAAGAGCTGATGTTCCTATACTGAAAAACCCAATCTTGCCATATGGGAAAAGCAGGAAAAGGAGACAATATAGGCAGTCCCCAAGTTACAAACATACAACTTACATACAACTCAGTGTTACAAATGGGAGTGAAATCTATTCCTAGGAAGGAAAATTCACTCCTGGAAGAGTTATCATCAGAAAGAGGTATCACTCCACTGAGGCTTTATCACTAATCCTTGTTTCCAGCACAACCTCAAATCTTTCAAAATCCAATGATCATAGGAACAGAAAACAAGGTGAACTCTTCTGATGAGGGGTACAGTCAACAAAACAAATGTTACAGGGGTGTTGACACTTTCTTACGCTTATACTACAACCAAAACCATCTTTTTTTAGTGGGAGTTTCACTTTAAAAATGTACCTGTTCCAACTTACATACAAATTCAACTTAAGAACAAATCTGCAGAACCTATCTTCTTCATAACTTGGGCACTGCCTGTAGTGGCATCTGAGGAACAGTTAAACTTCAAAGAAGATCTCATTGTACCAAATCTGGACAAAGTTTTGCTTGCGTTTCAAACACAAAATATTCATCTAGGTATCCCCTATATATCTTCAGCTTAATAACAGATGATGTGAGCTCTATGCTGAAAATTGTAGTTTCAAACCATCACCACCATTGGGTTGCTGTGAGTTTTTCGGGCTGTATGCCCTTGTTCCAGAAGCATTCTCTCCTGATGTTTTGCCCACATCTATGACAGGCATCCTCAGAGGCTGTGAGGTCTGTTGGAAACTAGGCAAGTGGGTTTATATATCTGTGGGATCTACAGGGTGGTAGAAAGAACTCTTTGTCTGCCTGAGGGAAGTGTGAATGTTGCCATTGGCCAGCTTGATTAGCATTGAATAACCTTGCAGTTTCAAAGGTCTGGCTGATTTAACACCACTACCTTATCACTTTTCCAGTGAGGACTAGGAAAGAATTCTATTCAGCTTCAAAGAGTGCTGCTACTCAGTGTTGGTAAAATTGGGCTACACAAACTAGGAGTCTCACTGTTAAACCTCTTATCTACTCTTACTCCTAGAATACCAATAATCACCACCTGATTCTGCCGAGAGGCAAATAATATTTTATTTTATGTAAGGCAAAAAAAATTGCATTTATTTTCTCCCAAGAAGTTATGTAGCAGATATTTACTTCAAAATTATACAATCTTACCCACTAAAGTATACTTACAATTCTACTTTCATCACACTTGAAGCGTATTATTGTAGATTTCTTCCGGATCTGATCTGGACACATCTCCCCGTTGATATAGGTAAGTACAAGTACGCTGTTTTCCTGTCGCAGTCCCTCATCTACTTCACCCATGCTTACGTGGTTAGAGCCATCCACAAGGCATGCTGCAGCATCTGGTGGGCAGGAACCTAAATTTGGTAAAAATGTGGGACAAAAACAAGCATTTGGTATTATTTCAATTCCACCACTCCCCACACAGTAATTCACTGTGTTTATTTTCCTCTAACAGTGTGCTGAAATGCTTATTTGCTACCTACAAAACAAACAAATCTTAAGAGGTTGTCTTCTGCCAAATGAAGTTTTAAATGGTATCTTCTTAGAAATGCACATTGTGGAATTCTATCCCCAGAGATGCTAGCCCACCACCTGCATTTAAGGCTTTTAAAGGCTTGTTCTCCAACTGGTCAGGCTTTCAACTCCTCAAAGCCCTAGAGATAGCAGAGTCAATAGTCATGGACTTTGAGAGATGGTAACCAAATTATCTGAAAAGATAAAGGCTGTGTATTTTAGCCACCAGAAAAACACTTGTACATGTCCCAGATTTTTACCGATCTGTTTTTATTTCTGGTGTAACTGTTTTATTGCATTTTATAAGCAATGGAAACCACTACTGGATGTTTTATATGGAAGGATTATATGAAAATGTTTTAAACAAGCCTATCTTTGTTTTAAGTAATTATGAGCGGTCAATGTTTATGTCCAAATGAATGCTACATTTAGGTTTGATTTGCTCATGTGTCTGGGTTTCTCTAATACAGAATGTGGTGGACAGTCATCCAGAAATCTATACAGTCCTCCTCACAACATTTTGGGTAAAAAGAATACTCAGACACTACTGTAGTTACCTGTTCCTTGATATGGCACTAAAGATTTGCAGACATTGATGTAATATTTCACTGCAGAATCTGTTCTTGAAATTGCTTCCCAGTTTTCCTTGTGTCGTGTCAGAGAAGACAGATCATAAGAGTTGCCAGCACTGTCTCTGGAGAAAAGCAAAGGAAACGTGATAAATTTACTGAACTGAAGATATATTTGAAAACTAGTAACTACTTCATCATAGAAGAGTACAATTCTGGGGTGTGTAGTTTAGTGATGCTGTTAAAGGCTCCTCCCTAAACTACAAACCCAGGAATTTTGCAGGATGCAGCAACCGGATTTAAAGTGGATTCATTCTCTAGTGTGATGAGGTAATAAGAAACAGTACAGGAGAACCAATAAGTCTTAACAAAAGAATCCAAACCAAATTTTCAATGCCTCAATTGCTTTTAAATGTAGAGCAGGAATATCCCTAGAAGTTTTCCAATTATTATTCTAAGAGTTGCACGACTTAAGTGTCTGGGGATCCAGGATTATAAAGTGGTAAGATATTTCATATTCACCCTGCTCTCCAGAATCCTCAGTTACCAGAATTCTTGATGTGGATGCAGAGAGGAATTCCTGTACTCCTATAAATGCCACACCGGCGTATTATTCATAGAACAGAATGAGCATCATTACTTGACGGAAAGTATAGGAAATCCCCAAAGTAAGACTTTTACTATTTCAACATCTGGAAAAACACAACTTACTTATAGGAGCAGTCAACTGATCTGAAAGGTGGGCAGGCCAAAGGAGTGTGCCATTCAAACATATAGGTGCAATCTTCTGTTTCCTTCAGAAACACTGGCTAAGGGGAAAAAAGACCCAAAAGAGCTCTTTTAACAAATGCAATCCTACATAACATACTCGGGTCTAGAAAAATGCAACTCAACCTATCTATTATTCCAAAGAAGTGATACTACAGACAAAACAGTAGTTATTCACAATACAGGTAAAAAAAAAAAACTACTGTTCCACTCAACTGGCAACAATCTTGGACTACTGCTGTACCATACAAATCTTGATATTTCTCCCTGAATAGCAAAAATACAAGCTTTTCTGCCCTTGCTGTGCTTATTTCCCACTGAAAAGGCTTTCCTATTCAACATATGGAGTCTGCAACTATGATGATATTGTTTAAGGAAGCCATAAAAAAGAGCCAGAGTGATGTAAGTGCTGGAGTGCTTACTCGGCTTCGGAGATCTACATTCAAGTGAACTGTGAGACCAACATTTACTCTGTGACTTTGGGTCAGTCACTGTCTCTTAACTTCACCTACCTCTCAGGATCACTGGGAGGGTTAAAGGAGGACAAGAAGGCATGCCATGTCTTGAGATCATTGAAAGAAAGGCAATATACTGTACTTATTAATAAGCCACTTACACATATATTTATCTTTCTGGAGAAAAGTCATCAATAAGCTGGTGTTTCAATACCATTTCCCTTTCAAGACTAGAAGCAGAAAGTGCTCAAGAAATACACCTATTAATGGTGCATGAGAAAAACACTGTGTAGTGCTGTTTAAAGTCCTATAGACTGCCTTTAGTGGGTCAGAAACAACATCAGACATTTAGAATTTGAGGACTCTAAAGCAAAATGCCTTTCATAAGAGAAGCAGACCTCCTCTTCTTTGCTCTTTCCTTCCAAGCCAACCATTTACCACTGCCACAGGTGAAGACAAGTAGAATATGTGGGTGGAGTTTTTGGTGCCCCCAGATATTTCTGGCTTATTTCCCATCAATCCTGACCCTTAGTTATGTTGGCTGGAGATGATGGGCATTTGGAAGTAACCAGTGATAATCGGACTGCTACAGCTTCTCCATCTTTGAAGAAAAGGCAAGGTATGTATGAGGAAAGTGCAGCCCTTATTCCTTTGTATTGAAATTCCCGAAGTCCTATGTATAGACATAGGTTAATATCTGTATGGTCTCAGTAAACTGAATGGAGAAGACTATGAGTCTATTTACATAACTGTGACGACATAAAGGTTCAATTATCCCATCTCCTCAAATGCAGCAATACTGGCATACAACTTACTTACTTGCTTATTTATTTATTACTAGCTTGGGGACCCGGCGCTGCCCGGGTTATTTGAGAAAGAATTGTGTATCAAGGTTGGTCTTTATCAGTTATGTATATGGCTCGCAGTGGTCTCAGGAAGTTAGTGAAGGTATTGTGAGTCCCATCATCTGTGGTCCATCCTCCTCCAAACTGCTCCAGAGTCATGGAGGCTCTGTGTACCATGTTTGGTCTTGATTGGTCATTAGATGAGTGCTACAGAAGTCTTGGGAAGTGAGTGGAGGTACTTGAAATCCCATCATCCATTGTTCTCCCCCAAACCTCACCAGAATATTGAGTTGGCCATGGGGCTCTCTGTGCCAAGTTTGGTCTTTATTAGTATTTGGATGAGTGTCACTGTGGTTTCAGGAAGTGAGTGAAGGTACTGCAAGTCCCATCATCCATCGTCCGTCCTCCTTCAAATAGCACCGGGATGTAGGTTGGGTCATGGGGGCTCTGTGTGCCAAGTTTGGTCTTGATGGGTCATTAGATGAGGGTTGCAGCAGTCTTGGGAAGGAAGTGGAGGTACTTGAAGTCCCATCATCCATGGTCTGTCCTCCTCGAAAGTGCACCAGGATGTAGAGTGGGTCATGGGAACTCTGTGTGCCAAGTTTGGTCTTGATCAGTCATTGGATGAGGTTCACAGCAGTCTCAGAAAGTGAGTGATAGGACTGCAAGTCCCATCATCCATGGTCCATCCTCCTCCAAACTGCAGTAGGATGCAGAGTGGGTCATGGGGGCTCTGTGTGCCAAGTTTGGTCTGTATTGGTTATTTTCTGACCCAGCCCCTGGCCTTTTCCTTTCCTCTATTTGTCATCTCGGAATCTTGGAATTGTGGCTGGCCAATCAGAAACTATATGCAAATTTCCTTCTCTCATGTCTCCGTTTCTGTCATGAACCCTTTTCTCCACCAGGGGCTCCTGTTGCAGCTGGCCAATCAGAGACCATATGTAAATAGCACCACAGTGGCAGCCTATCAGAAAGCTGGCACATACCCGGTCGCACCGCCGCATACAAACTTTGACTTTTATTATATGTATAGATAGAAGATATAATCACATTTGATGAATTGAGAAGGAATCACCTGACACTCCACTCACCTCCAAATTTGTATGGGTATCGCAATAGAAAAATATGGCTGTTGAACGCTGGTATATTTTGTGGCAGGTCTCTCCATTGGTGTAATTGATTTTGATTAATCCATTTTCAAATGTCAGTTTTGCTGTCTGCAAACCTAACAGCAAAATATGTCCATGTATTAACTTAAGTCACACACACGCATATAAAAAGAATACAGCCTGGAACTAAAAATATTCATTGAAAAATCTAAGCTGGCACACATAAGAAACAGGCTAACTTTACTTCTCTGTGAATCTCCAGTTTGCTAAAAGCTATAGAACAATCTCCCAGTTGTGCCACCTTTACAAAGTTCTGGAGAGACTTATTTTGCATAGAATTATGGAAAAAAATAGACCCATGTCTGATTCCACAGCAAGCTGGCTTCAGGAAGGGCAAAAGCTGCACATTGCAACTGCTGAACATGACTCAGCACATAGAAGATGGCTTTGAAAGGCAGCAGATCACAGGAGCTGTCTTCATAGACCTGTCAGCAGCTTATGATACTGTAAACCACAACCTCCTCCTGAGAAAAATGTATAATATCACAAAGGACTACTGTCTCACCAGCCTCATAGGAAATCTGCTACAAAACAGGAGCATTTTTGTTGAGTTCCAGGGCCAAAGAAGCAGATGGCAGAAACAGAAGAACGACCTGCCTCAGGGGAGCGTGCTTGTTCCATCAATGTTCAACATTTACACAAATGACCAGCCACTGCCAGAAGGGACGGAGAGCTTCATCTATGCTGATGATCGTGCCATTACTGCTCAAGCAGGGAGCTTTGAGATGGTTGAACAGAAGCTCTCCGAAGCTCTAAGTCAGTAGTTCTCAACCTGTGGGTCCTCAGGTGTTTGGGCCTACAACTCCCAGAAATCCCAGCCAATTTACCAGCTGTTAGGATTTCTGGGAGTTGAAGGCCAAAAACATCTGGGGACCCCAGGTTGCGAACCACTGCTCTAGGTGCTCTTACTACGTATTACAGGGAAAACCAGCTGATTCCTAACCCATCTAAAACACAGACATGTGCTTTTCATCTTAAGAACAAAGCATCCCGAGCTCTGAGGATGATTACTTGGGAAGGAATCCCACTGGAGCATTGCAGCACACCCAAATACCTGGGAGTTACGCTGAACTGTGCTCTGACCAACAAGAAGCACTGCCTGAATAGCAAGCAAAAAGTGGGCGTTAGAAATATGAAAGCTGACTGGCACAACCTGGAGATCACAACCAGATACAGTGAAGACATCTGCCCTTGCGCTATGCTACTCTGCTGCTAAGTATGCATGCCCAGTGTGGAACACATCTCACCACGCTAAAACAGTGGATGTGGCTCTTAATGAGACATGCCACATTATCACGGGGTGTCTGCGCCCTACACCAGTGGAGAAATTACACTGTCTAGCCGGTATTGCACCACCTGACATCCGCCGGGAAGTGGCAGCCAATAGTCAAAGGACCAAGGTAGAGACATCTCCAGCTCATCCCCTGTTTGGATATCAGCCAGCACGTCAACGACTTAAATCCAGACATAGTTTTCTAAGATCCACAGAGACACTCGCTGGAACACCTCAGCAAGCAGTCCAAAAGTGCAAGCTCAAACTCAGAATCTCAATCATTGACTGATACCAAATGAGAGATTCCCTCCTGGGCACACAGAAAACTGGGCGACTTGGAAGGCGCTGAACAGACTGCACTCTGGCACCACGAGATGCAGAGCCAAACTTAAGAAATGGGGCTGCAAAGTGGAATCCACGACATGCAAGTGTGGAGAGGAGCAAACCACAGACCACCTACTGCAATGCAACCTGAGCCCTGCCACATGCACAATGGAGGACCTTCTTGCCGCAACACTAGAGACACTCCAAGTGGCCAGCTACTGGTCAAAGGACATTTAATAGAATACCAAGTCTGCAAATTTTGTGTTTTGTTTGTTTGTTTTTTTAACGCAATACAACTGTTTTGGTTCGCTCCTGACACGATAAATAAAAATATTTCAGTATTTGCATAATAATTCATGTATAACAATAACAGATATATCAAACTTTACTTTTTTGTATTCTGAAAGCTAACAAATCATTTTAGTTAAACCATCTCACTACACGGTCTTAATTTTTGCAACAGTCACATATTCTATTTGGAACTCCCCTCATAACGAAACACGAGGGGAGTAGTGATTCACATATTCTCATTCTCTACTGATAAATGCACTAAAGTCCAATCTTCATAACAGTTTCTACCCACTAACCAGCTCCTGTCAAAAGAAAATGTCTCTAGCTACTGGTGAATGTGAGATAAAATATGAGTAAAACTTATAGTGTACGGTTTTCTTCACTGAAATACATTGCTAACAAACCCACTGAAGAAGATCAATACAAACAACCTGTTTTGGGGTTATAAACAAACAATGAGTTCTCCTGTTGCTATAGATTCAGGGAATTGGGGGGAGGAAGATTACAACTATCAAAATCCTCCAATAGCACAGCCAATTCAATACAGAGTCAGGGATTCCCATAGACATTGTCCAAAGTAATACCTCTTCTAAGCTCTTACACTTAAATAGCACCTAAAAATTCTAGCAATGCTATAATGCCCAAAAATAGCCCCTCTATAGCACTGGGCTAAACAGGTAATTTGTTATTAAAAAGAAAGTCAATGTTTTCCTATAACACAACTTGATTCATCCATCCTTATGAAGCCAAAGAATACAAATAATGGCCATTAGTAGACAGAACAGCCTTACCTGCTATTTTCTTAAAAGTTGGAGTTTGCTTCTTAATTTGACACGATGACACAATATCGGTAGCTTGGTTAGGTGGTTTGCAAATTCCTGTTGGTAATCCATCACAGATTCTGAAGACGTAGTCATATTCATCAGTGCTCACTTTTTTATCGGCCCCACTAAGTGACTTCAGGTCATAAACATAACCGTATCTTGGGTCTTTCACTTGACAGTTATCACCTTAAAGAACCAGAAAGCCAGAAGGAAAAAAGAAATCTTAGGATACACACCTAAACATACAACACTTTATGCTCAATTGTAAAGCAAGATCTATCTAAATAATGAAAAAAACATTTCCCTAAACAGAATACTGACTTGAAATGGTCAAACAACAATTTCTATTATTCTTTTTAGCATGTCACTGCAATTCTACTAATCATCAAAAGACATTTTGTTAATAGAAAAATAATACATACAAACTATGGAAAGGTATGATGTCTAAGAAGAGGCAACTGAGCACTAGGGCAAGGGCAATCTCAGTGGTGGCATCATGATTTTGTAAGGCTTTCCTAAAAGACATACAGCTGGTGCCTTTACTGTTGGTCTCTTGATGCTTACCAAATTTATTCCTATTTTTAAAATTTTAATTTTTTATTAATTACGTATTTGCAGTGTCTTAAAAGAAAGGAGGGGGCATTGGGGAGGGTGGGAATAGAATGAGAGAACTCTACTGCAAGTGATACACACAAAACAAAAGAAAAAATAGAAATTAAACCAGACGTTACTAGGGATCTGGGATAGGGAATAGGGAAGGTAGCAAGGAAAAAAGAGAAAGAAAAGAAAAAGAAAAAAGAGAAACTTTCAATCTTCTCTGTGGTTTGTATTTTCTTTTCTTGTCTTGTTTCTTTATACTATCCCCTCTTTGCTTATTATCAATATGCAATATTTTTTCTTATTATCATCAATTTAGTTCAATTTTCAATTTTATTTTTTCTTGTATCATAAATTCTCATATTGAAGTCCAATCTGTTGGTATTTTTAATCCCTCTATATTTATATTCAGCAGTTGGGTTAGTTTGTCCATGTTCATTATGTCAATTATCTTGGATAATTGGTGATAAATAGTCTGTCTTTATTTGCCACCCATTTCTATATCTAGATTCCCAGAAAGAAGTATTCCAGTTTTAACTGTATTTTTTTATCTAGCATCTTCTGAATTTTGTATTTCAATTTCTTTCCAATAATTTTTAGCTGTTTGACAAGACCACCACGTACTGATTTTACAAGATTGCCACATATTTTAAAACTTAATTTTTGACCTGATAATTTTATTTATCTGGCTCATAGGTTTTACTGCCCTTTTAGATTCAGTAAAGTTCTGTCATTTTGCATATATCTTTCTTTTTGAAGCCTCCCAATTAGTGGGATTGATGCCAGTTCTTCTATACATTGGGGGCATTTTGAGCTGAAAAATTGAGTGGTTGGGGACAATGAGGCCAAATAACATTGGGGTTCGTGGATCATAGAGCCTGGACTATGCTCACTCTAGGTTTATACAACTACTACTCATAAAGCTTTGAAAAATCCTCTCAGATTTTTATCAGCTGTTTAGAATGTTTTGATCTAGAATGCACTTTTGTAAAACGTGTGCCTGCAGAAATTGTTGCATAAGTTGAACTACATACAGCTGTTATACCCTTGCAAATTAATAAGCTCTGTTTTCACATGTCCAACTTCAATGTGGTCATGATGGCTGCAAGATTCTTAAGAGTTTAGTCCCAAAAGTAATTTATCAAACTATAATCCAGAATTATAGTTGACGGGAGCAATTTTGCTCAAATCAGAAACCCTCTGCATTGGACTTTTCCTCTTGTATCCCAAATGTGGTGTACTTTTAATTTTTAATTTTTTACAGAAAATAATTTCTCAAGCATTCATACTTGCCTTCTGCTCTATGCAAAGGACAAGCTGCTACTGTTCTCCAGAGAAACACGAATTCACAGTCCTCTTCATGTTGAAACACAGGTGATCCCTACACATAAAGATAAAAACATAAAGATAAAAATGATTCTATGACTTATGCTGGCTGTTTGGCATCTACAAGAAATTCTATTGATGTCCTTCTTATTACAGCTCTATCTAGAATCCCCTGGCATCATTAAGGTGCATTACTATTTATGAGAAAATCTAAAAAACAAAGGGACTTGCCATTCACAGATCCCCAGGCTGAATCAGATGCTTAATATAATGAAGAGTGATGTTCTTTTTTATTTTATGGAAATGCAAAGGGGGAAATAAATGTGCTTATGTCTGAGGTGTCTGCACCTCAGACATAAGCAGTTTTTTCCTATGAGCCCATGACACCCCATGGAGTTTGGTCTAAATGATTTAGGGTGGTAATGGAAATGATAACTGCTCAACTAGCATCAAATGTCAGATATGACAACACCCAGCAAGGTCTTCACTGTGAGTTCTTTCAACCTCCACTGCAGAAGCTTTGTCAGGTCAGTCAACATAAAGGTGATTTACCCTTTTTGTCTACCTGTTTAAGTTCAAAACAATATCTTTTTTTTAAAAAAAGAGAAGTCAAGCCTAATTTTGAAAATGGGTAGACATTGACCACTGAGTTTGGAGTGGGATGCAGTTGCCCAAACTCTTGGTCAACACTGACAGGTTTTCATGTCACAATTGTCAGCTATGGAACCAGTCCTGAATATTTACTGCCATATTTCACACGAGCCTATGGCATGTTTCATGATACTGACTGGAAAAAGTAAGACAGGGTTGTTGTGAGTTTTCCGGGCTGTAAGACCATGTTCCTGAAGCATTCTTTCCTGATGTTTCACCTGCATCTATGGCAGACATCCTCAGAGGTTGTGAGGTCTGTTGGAAACTAGGCAAGTGGGGTTTATATATCTGTGGAATGTCCAGGGTGGGAGAAAGAACTCTTGTCTGTTTTAGGCAAGTGTGAATGTTGCAATTGGCCACTTTGATTAGCATTTAATGGCTTCTGGAACAAGGTCATACAACCCGGAAAGAGCTAAATACACATATAAAGACAACTGGATTCTTAAACAAGCAGAGACAGCTAGTCCTGTTATTCATAGTAACAATTTCTTATCCTTGCACAAAAATACAAAAAAAGCAGTATTACTGCTATGAATCTGTTTTTAAGTAAGCTGAGTAAAGTGAAATTTGTGATGCTGCCCAATCTTTTTGTAGTTACAACTGGATCAGTGCCACAGTAGACAAAGAATTCTTAGAACTATAGCTCAAAAAATGTAATTTTGTCAATATACCACAGTACGAATGATAAAAACTGCTGTGAGCTCTAAAATCTCTAGTTCTTGCCAGATGAGAGATAAGTCCTCATACTGTATCTAAATCTACCTTCTAATTTGCAATGGTCTTCTCTGTCCTAATAAATAGAAAACTTCCAAGCAATTGAGTGAGCAAGGAAAGATGCAGCAATATCCTAACTCTGTGCACAAATGCAATTATTACCTTCTAACTACAGAAGACAACTAATCAGGAAGAGTACTATGCACAAGCACAGCTCATCGCTCTCTTCATAAAGTGGAAGTTTGAAGATGCAGAAAACCTGAGGTTCACATACATAACAGGTAAGGGGAGCTACAGTTATCCAGGACTATGAAAACTATATATATATATATATATATATATATATATATATATATATATATATATATATATATATACTGTATTTATATACCACCTTTCTCAGCCCGAAGGCGACTCAAGGCGATGGATGACAAACTTTATACTAGCTTGCAAGGCTGCTCAAAGCAGTCAAATTATTAGATGGAAAGACATCAGTATTTAGAACACAACACACAACTTACGTTAGATTGATCACACTGGAAGATGATCCGGGTTGAGTACTGCTGGGTACCTCTGCATTTGTCCCCACTCAAGTACACAATACTAAGGGAGCCATCCGTGGCAGCCTGAGGACTTATCTGAATCATACCAAGATTCTGACCTTTACCACCCGATTTCATACAAGACCCTATTACACCTCCTGCAAGCAATAGAAAAACTGAAAAGAATGAATTGAATATCGCCACCAGAGGAATTCATCAATTTTGCATGCATGAACAAAGATTCGTCAATACTGTATCTCCTTGCATAATAGTAGTCAGGGCATAATATTTGCACCCCCGTTTTTGAGATGATAAAATTGGCACTCTTAGTATTCCTTGCATAATACTTAGCTCACTCGAGTGCAACAATTATGAGAAGGGGGTGGGTGCATCAGCTGGTGAAGCCTCACCCGTCCTGAGCCTGCTTCTTTTCCAGCTACGGGCCTTCACTCAGCTGGTAGCCAAGTGTAGTCCCATAGCTGGAACAATTTTCCACTGTATAAAGTCGAATGCCCCTTTTTTGCCAAAGGGGGTGTGTGACTATTACGCAGTGAAATTCAGCATATTAAAGGGGAATGTTTTTATACCTACATATTTTCACTTGTATGCAAGTTCTTTTAGAGAAAATTACTAAAACATTGTTTCCACCTTTGTTTTTACTTCTGCAGCCCTGATTTAGCCATAGCATTCACTAATTAGTTAGGAGTATTTAGTAGCAGTGAAGTTAGTGCACCAAGTGCACAGTTGAAGTTAGTGCACCAAGTGCACCACTCCTGGAGAAGTCGGATCTGGCCACAGTAGTACATGCCTTGGTTACATCCTGGTTGAACTACTGTAAGGCACTCAATGTGGGGCTGCCTTTGAAAAGTGCTTAGTAACTTCAGTTGGTCCAAAGAGCAGCAGCCAGATTGCTAACTGGGGCTGGCTACAGGGAGCATACAACACCTCTGTTGCAAGAGCTCCACTGGCTAACAACATGTTTTCGGGCACAATTCAAAGTGCTGGTTCTGACCTATAAAGCCCTATATGGCTTCAGTCCAGGTTATCTGAATGACTGTATCTCTTTCTCTAAACCTGTCAGGCATCTATGATCAACTGAGGAGGGCCTTCTCTCCGTCACACCACCCACACAAGTGTGTTTGTTAGGAACAAGGGAGAGGGCCTTTTCAGTGGCTACTACTAGACTGAGGAACTCACTTCCAAGAGAGACCAGGATGGTCCCATCCCTGCTTGCCTTCTGCAGGCAGGTAACAACCTTTCTCTGCAAGCAGGCATTTGGGGGATGATGAGATATTTAAAAGTATTTTTAACTGTATTTATTATATTTTCACTGTATTCTAACCTCCACACAGTAGTATGTAAAATATTTTTTCAGTTTTTGTATTCACTTTGCTTTAAACTGTGACCAAACTATTTGGTTGCTAGCCACCTTGAGTCCCCACAGGGAGAAAGGGGGGGGGGGTATAAATAAAGTAAGTAAATAAATAACTAATAGTTCAGTAGTTCACTATAAACCATCCACTATCAGCTACCAAATAAATTCTCACCCTTCTCTAGTAAAGTATAAAATCTAATTTTAAAGTTCTATTCCAGATGTATGATAAAATGAATAGTTACGTTGCATGAAAACCTATGGCACATCGTTATTTCCATGAGAAAATTGGTTGTTTCAAAATTACTGTATTTTATATGCTGCTATCACCACTTTTATGTCTAATCAAAAGGTTCAGAAACTGTTTTATTAAATTCGCTAATAATTGGAAGGCCTCTAATTAGCAAATACATTATGAAAAACTATCTTATGAGAAGTTGCTCCTGCATGGATTGTGTGAATTCCAAATACTCTCGCTACCTAGGCCTACTGCACATTACTGGGTATTTTAACCTATTGTACAAATATGCCTCCAGAAAAGATGAACAAATCTGGATAAATTTATTACACTTACCTGGGCACCCTGGAATGTATGGAAGGGGTTTACAAACATTCAGATAGAAAGTTCTTGTTTTGGCCTCTTTAGATGTATCTAAGGCAACCCATGGCTTGTTATCTCTGCTCAAGTCACTCAGATCATATTCATTGCCAGCAGAATCTTAAAACACAATGAGAAATGATACAATGCTTGATTACTACTTTTGCCACTGCTGTTTCGTGTTATTTCTCAGAACATTCTGTTCTTCAAACACACACCAATGATCTTTCTACAGAAGTCATCATCTCACTTCCACTTACTTACCAGTAACATGGCAGTCAACTGGTGCAGGTGGGCAGGCTAAGGCTGTGTGAAATTCAAAGAATGTATCATGAATCCTTAGAGCTGAATTCATCTCTTCATGCACAAATGTGAGTTCTCCAGGATAGGACTCATTGCAGATGAAGGTAATAGTGAAGGTATCATTGGGTCCTGAAGAATGAAAATAAAGCATGAAGTCAAGATATTCAAGAAGGTCTTTACATTTCATTGTATTTCTACATGTCTCGGCTATGTCCTTATTCCTGTTGTACTTGCATCAACAAATACATTGTTTCGTTTCTCAGAGTTACAATAAAGGATCTCTAATGAAGGATGGCTCCCCATGGCCAGAGTTGAGTACCACCTCCAGAAGCTGGAGATGAAAGGGGAAGCTTTTGCCTTTGTTCTGTGTATTTGTGTGTCATTGTTATTTCACTGTATTAATGACACTCGATGTTTGCCCATCTGTGTATCTTGTAATCTGCCCCAAGACCCCTCGGGGAGATAGAGCAGAATATAAATAAAGTGTTGTTATTATTTTTGTTGTTATTGTTATTATTTTACTGCAGTATTGTATAAAATGGGACTTGAATATCCATTTGTCTAGTATCTAAAGGGCATCCTGGAACCAAACTTCAGTTGATACCAAGGGCTCACAGTATAAGGAAACCCCTTAGGGAACAAAAAAGCTACCTCTGTATGTAAGAGACAGGAATCCTTCTGTAGAAAGTTGAAGAGTTTTATTTAGCTTCACCAAGCGAATGTGTTCGAGATTCTCTGCTTCACATCCACCAATAGAATCATTTGCAGGTGTAGTTTTAGCTGTGCATCCTTTTGCCGGTCCACAGATATTCATCTAAAACAAGTAACACAACCAGTATTACATTTGTTGGCCTATGGAAAATCAGTTCACTAGCAAAACAGCACAATTTCAGGTCCTGCCTTTTCCATCACACAGGTCCTAATTTTTCCATCACAGACCCATGTTGTTTTGTTCACTTGTGAACACTGACCTAAACTTGCTACAGCCCTGACTTGGAACGTCTAGAGACTGAATTTATGAGCTTTTGTATGCATATATATTGTACGCCCTACTGCTAAGCCAAAGGCCTTCTTTGTATATTCAGATGTGACTCGCTTTGTTTACAAATATTCAACTAGAATTACTAATTTTGCATTCTTCAGAATACAATGACCTATGTTTGGCAAAGAAAAAAAATACCATATAGGTCTTTCCAATTCCCACGGTTACGTATACGTCATCTATAGCTAATGGCTCCAGATTATATACAAATCCAGTGTTGGGATCCTTCACAGAGCAGCTCTGCAGCAAAACAAACAGAAGGAAACAATTTCATCAAAAAGTAATACATTAAGACAAGAAATGCATTCTGAGAACAATATATGAAACACAAGTTTTGTTCCCAGGGGGGCAGGGGCGAGCAGGGAGCCGACAAGTGGGGGACGGACAGGAGAGCAACAGCATTTGATTAAAAACAGGACTGCTGGTGTCCTCACAGTGCTAATGGTTGGATAAGCCCTCTTGAATTATATCCAGCTCCTCCTACATCTGACACCATATAAACCACACCATACTATGTCTTATCTATTCCTCTACAATCATGAAGTAAAACAAAGTTTCCAATGACATAGTCTTTAAAAACATTCCAGGTGTTACCATCAATTTAAAATTATTCAGAAGGGAGGAGATGTAAAAACACTTAGTTCCACTTCTGCCGCATACATATGTGCAGCTTTACATGCAGGATGACATACTTCCTTATAGGAACTGGGATTCTGGCTGGAAATGGTCCTTCAGCCATGGATCTGGAATTGCTGAAAAGTTCAGGGGCGAGGGAGGATGTGTGAGGCATAAATAGGAACTTGATGAGCACAGGCATATTCCCTAACACCTCACCTGTGCGTCGCCTTCTGTTGTCGTCACTGGACAAGCAGCTTCAGTCTCCCATAAAAATGTAGCAACACAATCTTTAATCTCTATGAATCTCGGGCTGCTATTCTGGAAACACAGGGGATGAGGAAGTTACAGCAAAGAATGCAGAAATAGATCGGCTTTCACAAGGCACTACGGAAGTGTATTAAGAGTCTGCTGTCTTTTGGACACAATAATTTGGGATGGCAAGATTTGTTGTGCTGGTGAACAGGTATTCAAGAAAAGCAACATATTCACAAGGGTTTATTGCCAATTGCATCTCTTTATAAAATAATGTGACATTTTAAACAGTAAAAAGAAAAATATGTACTCAAACATGGTGGGACACTATTTCACTACATAGGTTCCCTAAACTAGCCCCCAAGATATAGTACTTTCCAAACAATATTACCAGATTTTGCGTAGGAAAACATTCTAAAATTGTCAAATTCAAACTGGAGGCAGTAATGGGCAATGTAGTGTCCCCCAAATATTGTAGTACTGCAACTCCCAACAGCCTTAACCAGCATGGCTGATAGTGTGGGATGCTGAGGAGCCACACAGCATTAGCTATAACTGTGTTGAAATTTCAGGTCGTCACCGGGATGTTGTGTACCTGCTTTCTATAACCACTTACATTGCTGATTTAAGAAAGTTATGCAGTACAACCAACAAAGGTAGATTTGGCCAGGGCCTTACAGTTAGCCCAAACTTATGCTAGTTTTAAAAACAACACTGGCCAACATATTTTGGTGCTCAAATGTTACCTCTATCCACTCTAGTTATTAAGATACAGAACATATGCCATCTACCAGTCGCCATCTCCTCACCTATAAGAAATTATGATAATCATGTCTAACAAATTAGAGATGTGGTCTATCCAATGCAATTTTCTGAACTAGCACCCCAAATAACCCCAGGAGCAGGTCTAACAACCAAGGCACCAAAATGATGTTATTGTTGGACTGTGTAATAATTGGGGTCAGGGATCTCATGAGCCACAAAGGTGGGCCCTAAAACTGCATCCAGCCCAATGACTGTACTTTCCCACTCTGCATCAGGTAATTGTTGACATCATTTCAAACAAAATTGGTGATCTATATCTGTCTTGTAAAACAGCTCATACGTATGACATTACACAGTACGGAAATTCTCCTTAAACAGCTGGTCTGTGGAAGTGATCCTGTGATCACTCTTATTAAGCCACAGAGGGCAGTTCAGTGAAATAAAACTGTGATGTCACAGGAGGATGAGAAGGTGATACTCTAGTTACTTACAAGAGTTCCTTTGGAGCAGGAGAGATGGACGAGGCTTGAGAAATGCTCACTCTTATCATCTGACCCAGTGCACAAAGAGCCACCAGTATAGTTCAAAAGGATTCTACCATGTCCTTCAATAATGGGACGCTGTCTGGCAATCCCCAAGTTACTATTTGAAACTGAAGAACCTGACTGAAATGAAAAAAACAAAAGTCATTCCTGAAGCAAAAATTGTCCAATTAAATGAAGTAAGGTTTCATGCTGAATTATTGCTTCAAAATAGGCAGAATCACGTTTTGAGATGAAAATAATAGATGAAACTCAATCTTATTTTAGGAAATAAGATTGTCTATAGGATTACAGATAAAGAGGAGGTAAAGGGTTAAGAAAAAGAACTTCAGATTAAAATGTTCTGAATATGAGATTCAGTTTACAGGGTTTTTTGTTTTTTTTCATGAGCTGGATATACTCACACTTCCCCCGCCTTGATATGTCACTTCACAGACCGATGCCCATCTATGACATCCTGGAATAGGGTTCAAGGGCCGACAGACATTTATGTAGTATTTTTTGTGCTCAGAATTGTCCATTGCAAACCAATTTTCACTTCTGTCTCCAAATAATGACAAACTGAAAATATTTTTTAAAAAGAACAAAACTCATGTTACACACATTTTCTCATATTTAATAATGTTAAAATTAGCAGGATAAATTATTCAGAATGCATTCCAACCTTTCACTCTGTTTATCTCATATTACTGCAAGCATACTACGCATTCAAAACATCATAAAGCACAGATTTAGAAAGAGACGTAATATCAAAATTGGAAGGAGGGCAATGGGCCATCAGGTCCAACTCCTAGCTCAATACAGGCTCTCCACCCACAGCATCTCCAGCAGATAGATGTCCAGTCTCTTTCTGAAGCTTATTATAACCTCAAGGCAATTGATTTCACCACTGACTTCTCCTATTGTCAAGAAGTTCCTTCTAAATGTCTAATCAAAATCTTCTCTACTATACATTCAAACCATTAGACCTGGTCCTAGCCTCCAGAGAAGCAGAGAGCAGGCCTGTCCCTCTCTATAGCAGCCCTTGTGGTACCTCAAGAGTGCAATCGTGTTACCCTTCAGCTCTCTCTTCACCAAACTGAACATGGCCAAATCCCTTCGACTTTTCCTCATATGCTTTGTTTCTTTACTTCTTATCTTCTTCCTTCCCATTTTCGGAACCTGCTCTAATATGTCATGATCTTTCTATAAATGGAGTGTTCACATTTGATGAGTCCTGTCCAAAGCTACAGGTGAACTATTATTATTACGCCCTATGTGGACTATCACTTCTCCAGCTCTGGATATAAGTGGACTATAACTTCCCCCAATTAGCCTGAATTTAAAACAATTCTTGTATTAATGCAGGTTAAAATGGAATTTGCCTTTTTTGTTGCAGCATCATACTTCTTGTTTATTTATAACTTAAGAATAAGCACCAAGGGCCTATTTGTGGCCTGAATAAAAAAATTAACTTGTCTGTTAAATTTCATTTTATTAATTGCAGCCCAGTTTTTTTAAAAGTTTATTATGGTTCTTTTGAATTTTATTCCAGTGTGTTAGCTACCCCTGCAAGCTTTGTATTATCTGCCAATTTGATTTGGATTTTCTCCATCTCATCATCTAACTTACTGATAAAAATGAGTAATGATCTTAGGACAAATCAAAACCTCCTTCCAATCGGAAGCACAACCAATTAGGATTATTCTGATAGTACTGTTTTCCTGAAGAGACCAAAATCCACTAATTGCAGTAATGCAAATGTATCTAAATGAACTCAATGTATACATACAAATACAAATGTCAATAAAACATGGGATTGTTACATTCATATTAAACAGGAATAATTTGTTCTTTTCTTGAAAGATGAAAAAATGAAAAATATCTATAAAAGAATTCTGTTTTGTGCTAAACAGCATCTAATTCAACATGTAAGCACATACTCTGGACAGAACATACTTATTAACTGACCATTTCCTCTGTCATTTTGTACTTAAAGACACTGTCTATTTTGCTTACCTTGAAAGATCATATTGCTCCATGGTATGAGGATCAGTTACAACACACTCTATGGGTATCTCTGGACAAGCATACTGAGTGTACCACTTGAAGTTGTAGGTGAAATTGTCTTCTGCCTAAGTTACACATAAAGACAAAACCAAATTAAACATGCAGAACCTTAAAGTTTTAAAAAATAAGAAGCTGAGCTTTATATATAGGTAAATACTTTTTATTTTATTTTAATGGGTGTGGAAAATGGAGGAAATTGGGGAAATAAAACCACTAGGCAGAGAATGTAAATCCCTTAGGTTAAGTGTTTTAGATCTGTACATAGTCAATATTTAGTGGCTGTAGTGTAGCGTGTTTTTATATTAGGAAAATTTGATTTCTACTTTTTGTTGATGTATTATGGCTTATACGTTTTGTATTCTTGCTTTTAATGTCTGTCTGTAGTTTTGTGTTGGTTTTTCTGACTACAATTATCCAAAAAAAAAAAAAAGAGTGGGGGGGGGGGGGAGAAGCTGAGCTTTTATGTGACACATTTTCTGTCACATAAAAGCACAAATACAAAAAGCCCACTGGAATCTGTACTCATATTCAGAATTATAAGTACACAATGTAAGTTAATTCTCTGAACAAATGCCTTTCATCTGTCCATCCAGGTATTATGATCCTTCCACCCTTATGTAATACTGGTCTACTGCAAATATACTTTAAACAAGTATTTTAATGTAAATCACTTCATGATAAAGAGATATCCATACATCATGATAAAACTAGACACTGGTATCAAAGGCCAATCCTTGGCAGCACTGAGACTCTGCCATAGAAAACCTTAAATGACGTGGCACTGTGTACTTCTGAACTGCCTCCTTTCCCTCTCCAGTAATATATGTGGAGTTGCACCATCATGAACTCAACTCTGATCTTAAGAATGTTTCTACTTTAAATTAAAACTTCTAGAATTGCATGATGGCTTGGAAATGTAATGGAAAGGAGGAAAATATGAAGAAGGAATATATATTCATTTCTTACCTGATATTCAGGTACTCCTGGCCCTGCCTCACGATCACACAGGAAGGTTATATGAGTGGACCGCTGTGTGTGGTTTGCATTGTTATAGGGTGTGCCATTTTGATAGTTCAACTGAATCATTCCATCATAATAGGAGAGCTCAGAACTGGGGGTCCCCAAGCTCCATTTGTCTGTACCACTAAAAGAAGACATGAACACAACCTCAGACCGATATCAACATGTACCAAAACATCTTTATACATTTTTTCTCCAAAAGAGTGGACTGGTGTTGTAATTGTGCAAACAATGTAATTACAATATCTGACGGGGACATGAGAAATCTAAGTTCAAGTCCCCAATAACCTATTTATTTATTTATTTATTTATTTACCTTACTTATATACCGCTGTTCTCAGCCCGAAGGCGACTCACAGCGGTTCACAACAAATACGAACAGCAAAAATTCAGTGCTACAGTATAGAAACAGTTAACAACCTAACACATTACACAATTAATAAACAGTTACTACAATACCCATTCACTGTCGTCTCGTCATCAAAAATATGTTCCAGATTCGTCATCCATTGTTCCATTCCAGTGTTCATTAACCAATCATTGCACTAATTATTCGAACGCCTGCTCAAACAGCCAGGTCTTCACTTTTTTGCGGAATACCATTAGAGATGGTGCTAGTCTAATGTCCGTAGGAAGGGCGTTCCACAGCCGAGGAGCCACCACCGAGAAGGCCCTATCTCTCGTCCCCGCCAGACGTGCTTGAGAAGCCGGTGGGAACGAGAGCAGGGTCTCCCCGGAAGATCTCAAAGTCCTGGTGGGTTCATAGGCAGAGATGCGGTCAGATAGGTAGCTTGGGCCGGAACCGTTTAGGGCTTTAAAGGCCAACGCCAGCACTTTGAATTCAGCCCGGTAGCAGATCGGTAGCCAGTGGAGTTGGCACAACAGGGGGGTTGTATGCTCCCTGCGCTCCGCTCCTGTTAAAATCATGGCTGCCGAGCGTTGGACTAGTTGGAGCTTCCGAGCTGTCTTCAAAGGCAACCCCACGTAGAGAGCGTTGCAGTAGTCTAAACGGGATGTAACCAGAGCATGGGACTACCGTGGCCAAGTCAGACTTCCCAAGGTACGGGCGCAGCTGGCGCACAAGCTTTAGCTGTGCAAATGCTCCCTTGGTCACCGCCGAAACCTGGGGTTCCAGGCTCAGCGATGAGTCCAGGGTCACACCCAAGCGGGATGAGTCCAGGATCACTCCCAAGCCGCGAACCTGCATCTCCAGGGGGAGTGTGACCCCATCCAACACAGGCTGTAACCCTACCCTGTTCGGCCTTGCGACTGACCAGGAGTACCTCTGTCTTGTCTGGATTCAATTTCAATTTGTTCGCCCTCATCCAGACCGTCACAGCGGCCAAGCACCGTTCAGGACCTGGACAGCCTCCTTAGTAGCAGGTGGAAAGGAGTGACAGAGTTGGACATCATCCGCGTACAGATGACACCGTATCCCGAAACTCTGGATGATCTCCCCCAGCAGCTTCATGTAGATGTTAAACAACATGGGAGACAATATTGAGCCCTGAGGAACCCCACAAGACAATGGTTGTGGGGTTGAACAGGTGTCCCCCAACAACACCTTCTGAGATCGACCCTCCAGGAATGACCGGAGCCACTGCAAAACAGTACCTCCAAGACCCATCCCCGCGAAGGCGTCCCAGAAGGATACCGTGGTCGACGGTATCGAAGGCCGCTGAGAGGTCCAGCAGCACCAACAGGGACACACTCCCCCTGTCGAGCTCCCGGCAGATCATCCACTAAGGCGACCAAGGCTGTCTCGGTCCCATGTCCCGGCCTAAAGCCAGACTGTGCCGGGTCTAGATAATCCGTGTCTACCAAGAATACCTGGAGTTGTGAGGCCACCACCTATGAAACATGTTATTGGCCTTAGGTCAGACACTTGCTCAATCTGACCTGAGACGATAGGTGTGAGGATAAAATAGAGACAAAAGGAGATCCACACACCTTTAAGCTAAATGGAGGGCGGCAAGTGGAGTGTATATATAAATACTTGTGGAATGTCGAGGGTGGGAGAAAGGACCCTTGTCTGTTTAAAACAAGTGTGAATGTGGCAATCAGCAAGCTTGAGTTATTGAGTAGCCATAATGTTTACAAAGTCAATCAGTAAAGGTATCTGCATAGTGATAGCCTGGCCTTTGTTGCCTGGAAGTATCCTCTGAAAATGAACAAAATCTAGTTACCAATATTAAAAAACACCAGAATCATGACAGTAAATAATGAACAACACTAAGAAACAGGAGTACTTCAGACGAGAAGCAATCAAGAGCCAGTTAACACCTCCCAAATAAAGGATGCCTCCAGACAACAAAGGCCAGGTTACCTCTATGCAGATACCCTCACTGATTGACCTTGCAAACTTCATGGCTACTCAAATGTTAACTCAAGCTTGCTAACTGCTACATTCACACTTGCTTTAAACAGACAAGGGTGCTTTCTCCCACCCTAGACATTCCACAAGTATATATACACTCCACTTGCCTCACTGCAAATAAAACCTCTAAAGATGTCAGCTACAGATACAGGCAAAATGTTAGGAGAGAATGCTGCTGAAACATGGCTACACAGCCCAAAAAACTCACAGCAACCCAGAAGTATATTCCAATATTATGTGATACTTACTACCAGGTAATAACAAGATAGTTTGTACAGAACTGCAGCCTATGTACCTATTACATGACATTTTGCAAGGTCCACACTACAGAAGGGAAAAAACACACAAGCAACATACCTTTTTTTAACTTGACATGCTGCTGACTTTGACCCACACAGTGAGTCTGGCAAACTGCCACAAATACTGATCTGAAAGGTATAGTCACTCGTGCTTACTGGATAAGTCTTATTCATGAGTGGTGATAAGTCAAAAGAATACCCTGAGTAGAAATAAAAATCCTTGTTTATTAAACAATTTATTACTGCACTTGATTTTTTAAAAGTATTCACAATTAGGAAGATGTACAAGCATGACTTCAAGATTTACTTCTGCTGTGTTGGAAAAAATCTATTGGTATATACGTATGCTGAACGTACACAGGGCAGTATTAGTGCACAACAACGTACAAGATCTGATTTTTAATGTTTGCTATTGCTATGTAATTACACTTAGCAATACACCCAAGCGATGATCTATGCTATGCACCAGCAGTCATTCATATCAATCCCAGAAAACTATTCATACTATTAAAAAGAGGGAAAGGGGAAAATGAAGTTTAAACTGGTTTAATAGTCAAATCTGAAATGGAATGAAAATTTAAAACTGGATTGCCATTTTTAGGAAGTGAAAACAGCCCTGACTTTGCTACAAAGAAAAGGCAACTAAAGCAATCAAATAAAAGGCCAACTGTGTTGACACAGACCAACACTCTGTATCCCAGATCCTGCTTAACTTGTTTCCACAAGTTACTTGGTTACCTGCTTGAGAGTCAGAAACTCTGCAGTCTTCTCCTTTTGTTTTCGAAAGCACGCAGGCAGCGGCAGTATGCCATTCAAACTCATAAAAGCACACATCATACGCTGAGTTAATCAAAACAGGAGCGCTTTCCAGGTCACCTGGCAAGGGAACAGTCAGAAAAATCTTACTGAAAACTAGAAGCAACACAAGTACCTTCTTATATCAGGAGAGCCTATTTATTTATTTATCTAACCTGAAATCAACTTATATCCCCATACCAAAAAAGGGAAATGCGAAAGACTGCTCAAACTTCCGTACAGTGGCCCTTATTTCACATGCCAGTAAGGTAATGCTCAAGATCCTGCAAGGAAGACTCCAGCAATACATGGAGCGAGAGTTGCCAGATGTTCAAGCTGGGTTTAGAAAAGGCAGAGGAACGAGAGACCAAATTGCCAATATCCGCTGGATAATGGAGAAAAGCAGGGAGTTTCAGAAAAACGTCTACTTCTGCTTCATTGACTATTCTAAAGCCTTTGACTGTGTGGATCATAATAAATTGTGGCAAGTTCTTAGTGGGATGGGCATCCCAAGCCACCTTGTCTCTCTCCTGAGGAATCTGTACAAGGACCAAGTAGCAACAGTAAGAACTGACCATGGAACAACAGACTGGTTCAAGATTGGGAAAGGCGTACGGCAAGACTGCATACTCTCACCCAACCTTTTGAACGCGTATGCAGAGCACATCATGTGATGTGCGGGGCTTGATGAATGTGAGGTCTGTTGGAACTAGGAAAAGGGGTTTATATATCTGTGGATATGCAGATGACACCACTCTGATGGCCGAAAGCGAGGAGGAGCTGAGGAGACTTCTAATCAAGGTGAAAGAAGAAAGCGCAAAAGCTGGGTTGCAGCTAAACGTCAAAAAAACCAAGATTATGGCAACAAATGATTGACAACTGGAAAATAGAGGGAGAAACCGTGGAGGCCGTGACAGACTTTGTATTTCCAGGTGCAAAGATTACTGCAGATGCAGACTGTAGCCAGGAAATCAGAAGACGCTTACTTCTTGGGAGGAGAGCAATGTCCAATCTCGATAAAATAGTAAAGAGTAGAGACATCAGAATGGCAACAAAGATCCGCCTAGTCAAAGCCATGGTATTCCCTGTAGTAACCTACGGATGTGAGAGCTGGACCTTAGGGAAGGCTGAGCGAAGGAAGATCGATGCTTTTGAGCTGTGGTGTTGGAGGAAAGTGCTGAGCGTGCCTTGGACTGCGAGAAGATCCAACCAGTCCATCCTCCAGGAAATAAAGCCCGACTGCTCACTGGAGGGAAAGATACTAGAGACAAAGTTGAAGTACTTTGGCCACATCATGAGGAGACAGGAAAGCCTAGAGAAGACAATTATGCTGGGGAAAGTGGAAGGCAAAAGGAAGAGGGCCGACCAAGGGCAAGATGGATGGATGGCATCCTTGAAGTGACTGGACTGACCTTGAAGGAGCTGGGGGTGGTAACGGCCGACAGGGAGCTCTGGCGTGGGCTGGTCCATGAGGTCACGAAGAGTCGGAGACGACTGAACGAATGAACAACAACATTTATACCCCACCTTCCTCTACCCGAAAAGGACTCAAGGTGGCTTACATATAGCGAATTATTCAATGCTTTAAAACACATACAATTCCAGTAACATTAAGATTAAAATGAAATTAAAATGAATACATATTAATCATTTAAAAACATTACATTAAATATTAAATTCATGCCCCCCATAATCATAGTCCAAGCCATTCCATAGTTATTGCATATATTCGAAATCTGTTATTGCACTGCACTATTCTCCAAAAGCCTGATCCCAAAGACAAGTTTTTTACTTTCCTTCCGAAGGCTAGAAGGGAGGGGAGTTCCAAAGTCGAGGGGCCACCACTGAGAAGGCCCTGTCTCTTGTCCCCACCAGTCACGCTTGCAAGGAAGGCGGGACCGAGAGCAGGGCCTCCCCGGACAATCTTAATTTCCAATTGTTTATATATCTCTGAGAATAATAATTTCAATCTCCCAGGAAAAACTATGAACAAGAACAAATGTCATGTAATTTCCTGTTCAATTTCTCTTAAGCAAAAAAAGGCAACCTTTTGAACAATCAAAGTATTTGTATGCCCATGCTCCCTCCTGGCTCCCCATGACTGTGATAAAGCATTTTAACAGATGTGACAAAAGTAGTCAGGGACTATTAGAGAATAGTTTCCAACTTTGTGTCTTCCAAATGTTTCAGACCTTAACGGAAAAAAGCCTCTCCAAGCAGTCAGGAGTTCTGGGAGAGAAATCCCAACACAAGATGTGGGCCGAAGACTGAAAACTACTGAGAAGATTTTTTTTTTTTTTACATTTTGAATGTTTGATGTTAATATTCTAAAAATACGTTGATACTAATTACCAAAAGCTCTGGACAGTTTATTGTTCATTTCTTTGAAGTTTTGAATATGTTCTCATAAAGACTAAACTAATCTAAAGGAAAGTCCCTAAACACTTGGTCCCAGAGGAAGCTAGGAAGAGCCAATCTCATCATACGTTTGGCATATCTAGACTGTTTCTAATTAGTGAATTTCAATAATAACCTACTCCCTTCTCAACCTATTTATTATGTCCCAAAATATGTGGAGTCAAGTTGGAAAATGCAACTGCACTCATGTTTTCTACATTTCACTTCAATTTACACACAACAGGGAGAGAAGCAAGCCAGTCAAAATATGCACATGACACCACTGCACCGAATTCCGGGTGGGGTTATTTTTGCAGTTAAAGACTGAATCTGGTGTAAAAAAATAAGTACCTTTGGGAATCATATTAAATTGATTCCTTCTCCTATTTCTCTTCTAGGACAATTCAAAATATTGGTTGTGATCATTAAAGCCCTAAGTAAGGGCCAGGATATCCAAATGACTGCTTCCTCCTACCTGATCTTGCATACCAGTTGCATTCAGAGGCCCTGCTCTATGTATCTGAGGGAAGCATGGCTAGTCATCATAAAATATAGACCTCCTTGGTAACATCATCTCAACTGTGCAATTTTCTCCAAAAAGAAATTTCAATAATCACATTAATTAATTTTTAAAACTCACCAAGCTTTTAGTGAGTCTTTGCTGTATGTTAAATTTTATTCAGTTTATTTTGTACTAACTACTGTGATTTTAAGATAATCATTTTTGTATCAGGATTGTTTTAACAATTGGAACCCTGCATACTAAAACCAGAGAAATGTGTGCGTGTTGATTTCAAAACAATAAAAATAAAAGGCCTTCAAGTTCATGTTGAAGCCAAGATGCAGAACAGCATTTGGTAATCAGGCCACACCCACCTTTTGTCCTTCCTCCCTAACAGGCGTCTGCACACCCCAGGCATAGCAGATATCCAAATAAATAAATATGGCAAGACAGGGGTGTGGACCTGGGCAAAGCCAAGCTTAGGAACATTACTCTTTTGGATAACAAGTCCATAAAAGAATTTTCCTAATCCTTGTAAGAATCACACCTTGACAGAACAGAAGAAAGCAAAAACCTCAGCAGACTTTCTATGTGATGCACTAAACATATACTGAGAATTATATACTAAGCAACATACAATCACCATCTCTTGCTTTGGAGGAGGCAACTAATTCTAAAAGTCACCAATGCAACTTTCACAGCTTTTCTGACCTCCATGAAGCTGAACAACTGAGACTGTACTTGCAGATGTGACTTTAACAAAAATCACAGTACTTACCTGGCTTGCATATAAGTAGTATCCTTGTTTCAATTCTCTTCTTTGGTCTACACTCATCACCATCTGTATAGAGTAACTGGATCTTATCTCCAACATTTGTGGGGGGAGACATAAAGGTGCCAAGATTTTTTGTGGTATTGTTTTTATCTATAAAGAAATACACCAAGACAGGAAAAAATGATACTTACATTAATGGAAAAATATTGTGGCCTAAACTCAAATAAAACACAGTTCACATCTACTTCAAGAAAGACTCAAATTTAGAAGATTTTTCTCTGTTTCTTGTTATCTTATTTCTAGGAGTATGCAAAGGGAGCCCCCAGTGGAACAATAGGTTAAACCCTTGTGCCGGCAGGGCTGCTGACCAAAAGATCAGAGGTTCGAATCCAGGGAGCAGGGTGAGCTCGAGTCTGTCAGCTCCAGCTTCTCGCTCATGGACATGAGAGAAGCTTCCTACAGAGTGGTAAAACATCCAGGTGTCCCCTGGGCAATGTCCTTGCAGATGATCAACTCTCTCTCAACACCAGAAGCGATTTGCAGTTTCTCAAGTTGCTCCTGATATAAAAAAGCACCTAAACACTGAAATAATGAAGTTGGTAACATAAGCTTTCATAGACTAAATCTACTTCTTGCATCTGAAATGTAGACCTAGTCTACGAATGATTTTGCAACCAATATCTTAAGAGTAATTTGTAATGAAAAAAAGGTTTTAAAGTTATGGGAGCTATTCAAGGAAGGAAGAAGGCCATTCTAAATACAGTTATCAAAAATTTAACATCCATGTAAAACAGAAACAAGGGTAATATTTGATTGTAAAAAGAGATGGCAAGCAAAAAACTTGCAAGTGTGCAAAAATTTAAAATCCACATATGGAAAATGTTACCATGACCAATTTTGAGCATCTGCTGTTCATCAACATTTCCCCAGACATAACTGAAGAAGCATCTCAAAAAGACTCAGTCCTTTTACATTTTTATCATTACTTTGCCTACTGACATCTTCAACAGCCAGAACATCAATGTTCTAACACTGCAGTTATACAATGTTGAAAAACTGCTTACAGATCCTTGCAAAATATTTCTATATAAGATACTGATGGGGGTGGAAGTGCCTGGATCCCAAAAGCATTATGTCTTTGATACAGAGACTGTTACAAATGCTTAAACCTTTCACGTGCACTTTAGCCTTTTATATATAAAATGTGAAAGTGCATAAAATCCTAAAGCATAAGATCATAAGCCCAACAGCAGCTGCTCTCACCTTGAACACACAAAAATAAAAGTTTATTACTTGTCTAAACAAATAAAGAGCAATGTGTTTATTCGAGAGATTGGGTCCAATCACCTACTCACCAACTGAGCAAACAGATGCCTCTTTTGAACAGTTCACTGCTCCTCCTTTCTGAAGTACTTTGTGACAGATATTGATGAAAAAGCGTTTCCTTACTGCTTCCACAGGGTTACCATCTACAGCCTCCCAATTCTGTTCTGACTCTAGAAGAAACAAACCACATTTGATATTTGAAATCCTTTACTTGGAGTTGTCTAACCACATCTTTCTCAAGTTGCGTTGCCATTATAAAAATGACATTTATTTCTAGTTTTATATTATTTGCTTTATATATTCATCCTTGAGCTCTCCAATAGGACATGGAAAACTTGGCAGGACTTAGAAGTCTTTATTTTTAGTAAATGCAAAACAAGAATGGCTAAACTTTTAGCAATAAGATCATCTTTAAGAGCCAGATAGGGGATCCCTCTATTAAAAACCTATAATGCAGCTCACCCACCATTTGTGTCATTTATTTATTTTAATAAACAAAAATGGATACAAATTGAAAATTCACTAATTAATTCTGAGATAGTCAAACAAGTCCTGTTTACGCAAAAGAATCTGCACAAATATGCGAAATGCAAATACTGAATTTTAGAGCAGCATTTAGAATGTAGAAATACAAAAAAGAGGCTCTAATATTTTGTATTTCACCACTAACTGCATTACATTGCCATTCAGAGTCTCACAGAGGAAAAACAATATAAAGAAGAGAATTAACTAAATTGCAAGATTTGTACTTATGCCCAACCACTTTTACAAGATCTATAAAAGAATAATCTTAAAGATTTAAATATAAATTGGCTTACATGGTATCAGATTTTTAATTGGCTATCTATTAGCAGCTGCCAGATTGAGTGCCCTTTCAAAAGTAATTCTGCTTCAGTATGGAAAAATGCATTTAAAAGCTTGTATTTGACACTGGTGTGGCTGTCATACCTAGTCGCTACTCTTTCCCTTCTTTATTATAGAAATTATCAAACTACCAATTCTTACGAACATTTATGGAAGCACTGTAGAAAATTTGAGGATGTAATCCTTTCTGAAGTAAATATCACTTATAATCAGTATCTTAACAAAGACTACAGAACAGATCCCCTTGGGTTTGTTTCATACACTGCAAAGAATCTAAATTGACTATCTACTAGCAGCTGCCAGGTCGATGACTATGTCATTTTGGAAAGGTTTAAAGGCAATATTTTTTACAAACCTGGTATAATTGAGTATGGCAACTAGGTCTGATTGAAAAGTCAGGACTTTCTGCTATGCCCTAATTCTGGGCTTCCAAGGGCATTCAAAAGTATGTTTGACTAGCTGTTGACATCTTTTTTGCCAGTATGACTAAGCAACAAATTTGCTTACCACTGTTGGATGGGGACATTCATGGAAGGTATTTCTGACATGCTTTGGCATTGATGGAAGTCAACCTCTGGAATCTAGTTAACCTTTTTAATCAGTTCAGAAAACACACACTACCCATCTTGCAATGAAAATATATGTCTAAGAACATTGCAACCTCCCACAACATAAGCACAAAAAATATGCTTCTGAGATATTTTTACCACAGGTAAATTAATAACTCCTTTGAAATGCAGCGTAATAGATAAATATGGAACTAGGAAAGAGTGAACATGGGATAGCTAAACGATGCTACTGGAAAATGAGTAACAGGAAGACACTGGTGATTATGTTTTAAATGGGTTTTTGTATTTTTTTATAATGTGTGCTAAATGTTTTTAATTATATTTTATGACTGTTGTGGTATCAAATTTCTGCCAATTTGTAAGCCGCGTTGAGTCGCCTTCGGGCTGAGAAAGACAGGTTAGAAATACCATAAATAAATAAATAAATAAATAAATAGTGCAGAAGCGAAGAAACCAGACTGCAAAAATCATATACATGATTGTGGGATAGCTCTTGAAAACACAAAACAAATGGGTAAAAAAATTAAGAGAAAGAAGGCCATTATTCCAAGAAAAAATGAGGAGGGAATCCACTTTTTATAATACACAGGAGAAATGCAGTGTTTCTGGATTCCTCAGGCTGTGAATTCAGATAACACGGATTGTAAATGCTCTTTTAATCAAAGTGCAATGAAAGAAACACTCCTTTCCAAAAAGCCACACCCATCAATTGATATGATCTCATGCTTTCACCGCTGTAACATATATTCATTTTTGCTCTTTTGGCTGCTCAAAGGTTGCAGTTAGATCCATTTGTGGCAAGACTTGTCTTCCATAAGCATATTATATCAGTGCTCCATATAGTGTAGTTGAGCACACACTCACTGTTTAGCAGCAGTATATTCTACTTAAATAACACTAAAAACAGGCATTCTAGTTTATTTTTACAGTTGTCAGTTTTAAGTACTTCCTACTAGAAGGTCTGCAATAAGGGAAATTAACAAAGAGAATAACTGTTTTTATAACAACATTTTAAAACATTATTACCTGAATGACGAATCAGTCGTGCCAAATCGTAGCGTTTCTTCTTGTCGGTAACCATACAAGGAAGATCTTCCTTTTCTCCAACACATGCATATTTTGTCTGCCAACTGAAGAAATATGTGCAGTCTGTTTCATCTGAGAACTCTGGGTATCCCTTTCCGTCATCCTCTTTAAGAAGTGGACCAAGACAAGAGCAAGATTAAGCATGGACAAAGAAGACACAAGAGAGAAAATATTTTAAAAATTGAATACTACTTTATAATATGTGTACCTAATGTTCCATTAACATATTCTTAAAGTGAGCTTACAGCATATAGGACTATTATTAACACTGGAATGATTGCAGCTAGCACAAGAGCAAAATTGTAAATCCCATATGCTACATTTTGGCAAACATTTCAAATTAAAAATAATCACGAATAGGGGCTCAGCACTCACATATGACCCAGGAAGAACTGGCCTAAGGTGCATGCACACTGTAGAAGTACTACAGTTTGACACCACTTTAACTTCCATGGTCCAGTGTTAGAGAATCATGGGAGTTGTAGTTTAGTGAAGTACAAGCACTCACTAGCAGAAAATGCTAAAGACCTTGTAGAACTCCAACTCATATGATTGCATAGCATTGATCAATAGCAGTCAAAGTGGTGTCATACTTCATTAATACTATAATGTAGATGCACCCCTGTCTAACAATTAAGAACCAAGAAACAGCAAGGATTATTGAACATTTGATATCTGAGATTAAAAGGGAAGTGATTTCCACAATAGAGGTGACAATGATGCAATAGGCAGCATCATTAAGAGCTAGTGCTCTTAAGCGATGGGTTTAATGAGGGCAGACATGGTAGCAGTCACTCTATCACTTCGGTGAGTAATTATTTCTTATCTGTAAGTGCATATTGCAAGGACTGGACATAAAATTGTTTATGCAATTTTTGATTAATTCAAATTCTGCTATATATAATGTTAGAATGGTGTGGGACCACATAAAGCAATGCTCAGACCCACACTAAGGCTTGCGGGTCGGATGCGGCCCTATAAGATAATTTACCCAAAACCAAGGTCATCCTTACTGAGTCCTCAATGAACACTACTGTTGACCATCAGAAGTCTATTTTATGGTTAATAAGATATATATCCTTCCTGCATGGCTCTGTGCTATGTCTCAATGGCAACAATTACAGTTACTCTGAAAACATACATATTTTAGCTCAGACCTGCCAAACCTGTGGCACTCCAGGTGTTTTGGACTTCAGCTCCCAGAATTTCTGTCAACTATATGTGCTGACTACGGTTTCTGGGAATTGTTGCAGGCTGTGCACACCTGATTTAGTCCCATCACATTAACAGTTATTAATAGGAAATTAATGAAAGTGTGCTGTAGGCAAAAAGTTTTCCTCCAGCCATTAATGCATTTAATGTGTACACATGCAGTCTGGGCCTTTAATAAAAACAGATACTACGAATAATATAACAGAGACACAATAGAAGAAAATACAATACAATACAATACAAAACCCCAGTAATGGGTTTGTTCATCACCTGCTGTTTGATTGCACTCAAAGTTTATGACAGTCATTCGCTGGAAACCAGAACTGCAAGCATCGCCTCCTGGATATGTTAAAATGAGGTCTCCATCGGCATACCTGGATTTCAAAAGTCAGAGTACAGTTCTAAATAGTTACAACAGTCCAATATAAACAGAGGAGAACTTATCAGTGGCCCTCGCTCAATGGAAGAAATAATAGGAGAACGACCAGCCACAAAGATTAGTAATAGTAATATTCAGCTCATTTTTTTTTCAATTTGAGGAATTTCGAATTTTGTATACAAATTTGATAGAAAAAATTACTATGGGATCATCCTTATCTATCCCAAAGCAAACACTGCATTGCATGTAGCCATCATGTGGATTTGCACAACAATGTGTCATTTTGTTTTTTAGCCAGATAAGGTTACAGTATCAAGACTACCTACTGGCTCATTAAAATATCAATGAACATTCTGGACAACTGATTTCAGTGGATAACAATAAATCCAAAACCCATATCTTCCCTCATTAACTAGGTTAACAGAGTACCACATACCACATATTCTAGAATTAATGAGGGCTTGTATATCAATTGGTCAACCTTGAAAAATATTTATTTAGTCTACTTTGCTTTTCAGTAGTGGTAATTAGAAAATAGGATCTCAGAAGATGATTTGGTTAGATGACTACCGTAATGAGCAGGCTGGAGGACAAACAAATTAAATGTGACTCTCATAGTGAAAACTTGAAAGTACCTCTAGTAATCTTATGATACACATTTAGAACAAAGGCGAGCAAATAAAAAGCAGGTTTTAACAACTATCTGTGACATTAGAGATGAACACTGTACTACTGTGTTTACTGTTGTCAAAAAAAACTTTCATTTCCTTTAATATAAAGCCAAATAAAATTACTGAGAGACTACTTCTCCTTAGATTTCACATGGTCATTTTTTTTCCAAAACCATAAAAGTGACTAGACAGCAACATTACTCTCTGACTGGAATTATTCTAAATCCCTTCACTATATAGTTTTTTTTATTATTATTCTCAACAACTACTACACACAAAACACTTTTAGAAACCAAGTTACTCACCTGAGGGTTTGATTGGTAAATCTTCCTGCCACTTTATGCTGATTATTTTGAGGTTTGACTTGGCATGACGAAGCATATGGATCTTGACAAGAGTCTTCTGTTGTTTTCCCGCATATATTCAGGTAGTATAAATACTCTTCTCTCTCTTTAGCAACATAAGGTGTCACATAACCTACAGAAATTGATAACTAAGTGTCATTTTCAGTAAGAGTATCTGACAAATATATGAACGGAAATAGCCATCTCCTGAAGTAAGAACAGCCTAACAAGTTTTAGTCACATTATAACCAGATAGGATTGCTTTGATTTGGACACAATTACTTTTTGTACTACAACTCCCAAATTTTCTCTACTGTCTAGGGAATTCGAGGAACTACATATAATCAAAAAGGGCTTCCACGCTTTAACATTTCATACTTTATTTCATTATATGGCTTCAAGTTCTTTAAATTGCCCGCAGGTTCTGTTTCACATGTGCACATTAAAAGTTCACCTCTGAGACTACTCAACTACAAGATGAAATAAGAAAGATTTAATGATGGTGACAATAAAAATTGGAATTTGAATCATCAGGATCTAGAGCTCTTTCTCCCATGCTTAGGTTTAAATAGAGCAATGGTTCTCAACCCTCCTAATGCCGCAACCACTTAGTACAGTTCCTCATGTTGTGGTGACTCCCAACCATTTTGCTACTACTTCATAACTTTATGCTACTGTTCTGAATCGTAATGTAAATATCTGATATGCAGGATGTATCTTCATTTGGCACAAATACCCATAACGCTCATTTGACACAAATACCCATAACACTCACATTTGAATACTGGCAGAGTTGGGAGGATGGATTGATTTTGTCATTTGGGAGTTGTAGTTGCTATCATTTATAGTTCAGCTACAATCAAAGAGCATTCTGAACTCCACCAACAATGGAATTGAACCAAACTTGACACATATACCTCCCATGACCAACAAAAAAATACTGGAAGAGTCTGGTAAGCATTAACCTCAAGTTTGGGAGTTGTAGTTCACCTACATTCAGAGAGCACTGTGGACTCAAACAATTATGGATCTGGACCAAACTTGGCATGGATACTCAATATGCCTAAGTGTGAACACTGGTAGAGTTTGGGGAAAATAGACCTTGACATTTGGGAGTTGTAGTTGCTGGGATTTATAGTTCACTTACAATCAAAGAGGCATTCTGAACCCTAGCAACGATAGAATTGGGCCAAACTTCCCACACAGAACCCTCATGACCAACAGAAAATACTGTGTTTTCTGGTAGTCTTTGGTGACCCCTCTGATACCCTCTCATGACCTCCCCAGGGGTCCCAACCCCCAGGTTGAGAAACGCTAAAATAGAAGGTCTTCAAGAACTCACTTGCTTTTTTGACATGTTGTGTGTGCATTCCTTTTTCTTTTCTCCCACAAATCCTGGGTGAGTGACACTTAATGGATGCATCTGTTACAATCTATATGGGATTCTATCACCTCTAAAGTATAGGTGTAAGTGTAGGAAAATATTTGTTTCTATTTCAAGGCCCCTGCTCCTTGATAAGTTCCCCTTTTCCTCTGACAGGGAGCTTTTTACACATAAACACTTCAATAAGTAGTATAATCTCATACAACACTATACGGTACATATCCTTTAATCTCCGAGTTATGTTGCTGGATTGCAGGGGAAGAGAACTGTGAGGACAAAGCCATAATCCACTTATGGATATTCTCCATCCATCAGGGCAACACCTTCCATCCTTATCTCCACAATCAGTGAGGAGATAAAGGGGCTATTCAAAGTCCCAGAATTTTTAGCAATGAAATATTTAGTTTGAAACCTTAGAAAGTTTTCCGTGGGACAAGAGCTCGGGTTTACAGACTGGGAAGCCTTTGTGACCATGTGTATTGGCAAGATTTACACCTAGCCTTCCTACATATCCTTCTTCCAAGTCACTCCTAGAATGCATCCTTCCCAAACTGGAATTCAGCCCGTTGGCCCAAAAGTCCTTCTTCTGACTTTGCAAATAGCTTTGTTCTGGTTGCAATTTTTTCTAAAGCAAGAGGATGCTGACCTGGACTTTGTGTAAGTGGTGTCAAATTCACATAGATGCCATGCTGGTCATTAGTCAGAACGCAGCTGTTACTCTCTAGATAGTCCCGGACACAGGCTGACTCTGTGACCCATTCAATCTCATACCGGCAGTTGCTCTGAGCAGTAAGTTTGGGGCTTGTGTCCTGTTGGTAAGAAAAAGTAAAAAAAAAAATCAATAATCAGAAATATCAAGTTGCAGAAAACTGCAGAAAAGATCAGCGATTTGAAAAATTACCTCTTAACCTCATTCTCAGAATCCATCAATTAACAAAGCCATGACTGATGACTGGGGGATTCTAGTAACTGTGATTCAAAAAAGTAACTTTTCCAACATCCAGGTAAGATGCAATTCCTCAGAAATAAGGAACAGAAGCAAACGCTTCCATTTAATACACAAAAATAGAACTTATAGGCTCAGAAGTATTTTATTACAGGATTCCTCATGTATCAGAAATCTACATTCACATTACTGCAATTAATAGATGCATTTAATGGGGCCTTCTATTTCAATATGCTTTCATTACCCCCTACCTCAGTTATTTGCATGGATCTGCTTACATACAGCAGAAGAAGCAAGATGTGCCATATTATTTTGAGGGGGTCTGGAAAGAGCCTGTTGATTCTTTACTGAAAGCTATTTCAGATATACTTTGCATATAACTGTGGGGGGGGGGGGGGAGAGAAAAATCCATCCTGAAAGCCGAAATACTAAAAGGCCAAGGCGTAAATCTAAAAAATGTTTAATTATTTATGAACATAAAAACTATGCTGGATGAGAGTGCAAAATTCTAATCACACAACTGCAGTTACATTTTCCCTTATTACTTTTCAGCAAATGAAGTACAGAGGATGACCAACTTCCCTCTGAATTTGGGGAAAACATACATGCTTCTGAATAACCCAATCACTATGAAAATTATAAGCCAACTTTCTGCCAAAAAAGGTTCTCAAGGCAGTTACCAATAGTAAAATACAATTAGAAACAACATCTTGATTAAAACATAATGCAAAAGCCTATCAATCAAAATGCAACAATTAAAGATAAAACTGGAAGTGAAGTATTTAAAATCCTCTGAATAACAGACCACTTCCTATTCAAAGTGCATGCTAGGATAAGCAACTCTTTGTCTGCTGGCTGAAAAAAAAGCCAAAGTGCCATATCTTCATCAGCAGAAAATTCCAAAGGTTGAAAGAGGTCACTGAAAAAGACTGGCCTTTTCATAAACAAGAACTGTAAGAGGGTGAGGATCATTTGGCACACCAAATGCTACTGGACTACAGCCTAAAGGAGTCCTCATCAATAATGATGCTGTCTAGGGCAACTGGGAGTTGTGGTACACACTCGTCTGAAACAACATTATTGCCATCCTTGGATTGTACTAACTAAACACTACCTCTGCAGATGTGATACTTATTGTGTTACAAGCATAGTGGAGTCTCATCACATCCCTATTGAGAAACAAATATAGTGGGTCCTTGGTATCTGTGGGGGTGGATCTAAGATTTCCCATGGATACTAAAAAAAAAAAAAAGGATGATCCAAGTATAATATCAGGGGCGCTGAACTCAATTGAAAGCAACATCAGGCTTATTGTTGCCTTCAAAGGGTTGTTTAATTCATGGGCAGAGTATCTGTGGACACTGAAGGCTAATTTTATTTTTTACATGGTAACTGGTGCTCTTTATTTTTTACACAGTTTGGATCCCCAAATGTTACTGAATGAAAACTCCCATCACTTTTGATTATCCATCATGTAGGCTGGGGATAATGCGAATTGTAATTGTAACCCAACAGCACGTGTGGCTTGAAGGTTGGGGAAAGGTTAAAGGACATTTTAATGGCAAGACATCACATCCACAAGCCTTTTATCTAAATTCAAATCCCACTATCTTGATGAAACAAACAAACTGCAGCCTTCCAGATGTTACTGCATCACAACTGCCATCAGCTGTAGTCATGATGTCTAATGATTAGGAATACAGGAGTTGTAGCCCAGCATCTAGAGAACCACATAAAATGACAAAGTGGGCCGGATTTGGCCCATGGTCCCAGAGTCTGACGCATGTGCTTTATATAAGAGGACAGGAAAGGCGTTAAGCAGTGCATTATCTGATACTTCTTGAGGGATTTAGGCTGCTATGTGTGCAAACCTCAACTTTTTCTCCCTACAAAACAACTAATCTCCCAATCCTTGCACTCTCTTCTCTACCATCCAATCTCTTCGACTCTACATACGGCCTGGGAAGGCAGCACACATACAGATCTCAGCTTTGACTTTCTATCCCAACAATCAGTTTTCCTCACACTCTTTTATTTGCCACCCTACTATTTCTAGACATACTCAATGCAGGTGGTCACAACTACATCTATAAGTCCCAGCATTCCCTCTTCATCCTGACAACCAGACATTTTTTTGCATTCTCCCTCACTATGCAATTTATTCTGCCTCTTCCATGAGCAGCATTTAAGTAATCACCGTTGTGCCCACTAAGTTCCAGCTTTCCCTGTTCGCAGCGACAACTAGTGTTCCTTCTTCACATTTTCTCCCAAGCCCCACCTCTGTAGCTTCTTTTCCCACAGGAGGGAAATCCTACACAACAGCTTCTGCTATGGTCCTCTTGCAATGCGAACAGTTAAAGGACAGGAGGAGAGGAGACATGCTGCACTGCTATTTTTTAAATTTAATACTGTTTTATGGATTTTTAAATTTTTAAATTAATATTGGAATTATTATGTATTGTACGTCATTGTTTGTTCATTGTATAAAAAGGCATCGAATGTCTGACTTATATGTGTACTATAATCTGATCTGGGGAGATAAAGCAGAATTATTATTATTATTATTATTATTATTGATTTGCAATTTTTTGAATTCATTGCTACGAAGTCTATGAATAAAGATGCCTAAAAACAGATTTTAAATATATAAGGAGTGGATACAACCAACAGTACAAAAGAGCAAAAAGGGAAAGAGCACTTGACAAGATGCACAGCTAAAAATTTCATATATTGCACAACTATCATCATCAACAACAGCAACTTCATTTACTGTACACCCTATCTTTCCCCCAAAACCAGTACTCAAAAGAAATGTACAAATGCCTACAATACTATTAAGCATACAAAATAGTATACTATTCGCAACATTAAAAAATTAAACCTTACAATTAAAATTATAAAAAGCAATCTTAAAAATAACAGTTAAAATCATGCAGAAAGTGATTACAGTATTGTTGTGAACTAGCATCTCATTAAGTTGCATAGGGAGCATCAAAGCACAATCTTATCAATGAGATGTAAAGTTTGGAATGAGACAAAGCAATTGGTTATGTTATCTATCCCTGATCATTCGCTTCTTTCTGACAAAGGTGCTCTAGACAGAGGTTACATGTGTGAAATTTGATCTTATCACTGGAACTGTACAGTGATGCCACACTTCTCTAGAATACCAATGTTGAAGTACCAAAAATAGTGGCTTAACTGTTTCATGATGCATTATTTTATTCAAATGATGTAGTCAACTTCCGTATTTTATCCAAGGTTTTTAAAAAGGAATATACCTCTCAAATAAGATTAATTTTAGAGCTGAGGACTTGATTTGTCATATTTCCCTATCCAATCAACAGGATTTAGCATCCCTCATCTCATTCTCATGGTGGAATTCTATTACCTCTCTTCTCCTCCCTTCTGGACAAACAAAGGTAACTGTCACTGCAGGATCGTGGCCACTACAGAAGTCTGGTCTGTCTCTCTCGTTGCTATATTTTTTCTCATATCTCACAGAAAGCCTGAAAGACAAGAACAAACCCAGATAAAATACAATGCTAAAATGTAAGCAGCAATACAGAACTCATAGAGAGAATATAAACGTGGAACTGAATACAATTAGTTTTTCAAATACTTTTTAGCTTAGGTAGTTCCTAGCATATTACTACAATACATTTCTACCACAAACCTTAGGTGCTATGTATTGTCAAAGGCTTTCACAGCCATAATCAGTGGAATGTTGTGTGGTTTCCAGGCTTTATGACCATGTTCTAGCAGTATTTTTTCCTGAAGTTTCACCTGCATCTGTGGCTGGCATCTTCAGATGATTTCTTGTTTCACCACAGATATAGGCAAAATGAGAAAATGCTAGAATTTGGCTATGCAGCCCAGAAACCACACAACACTTAGGTGTTATGTCTTACAACACTCCTTAGGTGCTATGCCATTTACTATAATCATCTTCCAATTGCTTGTATCTTACAATACCCACAGTGAATGAAGGGTTACCTGTCTTTGTCAAGCTGTTTGAGTGGCTCTTTAGGTTGTCCCAGATCAAATACATGCCCCCCTTTCAGCAGACAAGCAGCACTCTCTTCTGGACACCTCTTGGTTTCACCCAAAGACCTCCCTGTTGATATAATATACATGTCCACATATTTTAGGTTTTGGGGGAAGAATACACCAGAGTCCCCGTGTTCAAAAGAGGTTTCTATTTTAATGAGTTGACATATAAGGTTTAAAATGCTGATAATCCATTTTTATTTTTAAAAAATACATAGAAGGGGAAGATTTTTTTCATGTATTATTGGGCATGGGCAAAGCTGCACTTCATAGTTGTATTTCCATCCCAACTTCCTGGATCTCCCTTTCTTTAGGAAACAAAACAAAACTATAAATTACTTCTTCTGGAAGCAATGAATAATAGTGAACCCTTTTAAAAAGATATCGCCTCCTCCTTATACTGCTTAATATCAAAGTATTTCCATTTTTCAAAAGCAGAAATGAACCTCAGGCAATTCCAGGTTTTGCTTTGTTGATGAAGTTTCCCATCCTTGTAGCAAACCCACTAAACTAGGCTCCTAAGCAAGAATTATTCTGAAATTTACATTGATACAGATAAATCGAAAGTGTAGACGAAAGTGTCGGGAAATATAATTTGAACAAACTGGATTTGTTTTCTCTATGCTTCATTTTAAAAGAAACCCAATACATAAGGTATAACTGGAGAATACCTTGCTCTGTACAGCAAAGATAGAGACTATTTTTGCATTTGGGCATAAAACGTAGCCCTTCTTAGTCCCTAGGTACTGAGGCGTTGGGTTATATTTAAAGTTATAGCTACCCTATCCAGTGCTTTTGATCATGGGAAGGCAGCTGTTTTGTTAAACAGAAAACTGGGAAACCTGGGAAGAAAGAAGGATCTCAAAAAGAGACGTTTACACCTGCACTTTCACAGAGGTCAGAAAAATGACACAAATAGATTTTAGTTTATGTTGGAAAGAGTGTAACACTGAGAGGTTCCTATATAATTATGCAATAAGGTTGGTAGACAGTTACTAAGCATTCAAACAGCCACTCCTTACACTTGCTCCATTAGAGCTGAAATTTTACTGATACCATGTACTGAAATTGTATTTGTGCGACACCCATGACCTTATTGTTATGCAGTGAAGTATTTATTTATTTATTTACTTTGTTTTATATATCCCCCCTCCTAGATGGACTCAGAGCGGTAACCATATAGCACCAGTTTGAAAGTGTATGGAAAGTATCTAATATGAAGCTTTGACATTTATATCTGCACATAAAATTAAAGAAGGCAATATTCAAACACAAATTATTCTATAACACATAGTGATCATATATAACAGCCATATATAAATATGTGAAAGTGTATCATAAGGAAGTGGGAGCAGACGTGTTTTCTGCTGCCCTCGAAGCTAGGGCTAGGAGCAATGGGTTCAAATTACAGGAAAGGATATTCCACCTAAACATTAGGAAGAACTTCCTGATTGTGAGAGATGTTCAACAACGGAAGTCTCTGCTGTAGAGTGTGGTAGAAGCTCCTTCCTTGGAAACTTTTAAACAGAGGCCGGATGGCCATCTGTCAGGAATACTTTGATTGTGCTTTTCTTGCATGGCATGGGGTTGGACTAGATGGCCCATGTGGTCTCTTACAACTCTATTATTCTATGATCATACACTGGAAAAAAATGAAGATTATAATTGTTCTGAAAATGCAACTGTGAGTGTTGAAAAAAATAATTGTGATGATTACTCTATGCTCTCCTTAATGTTGCTGATTCTTTTTGTTGTGAAATGTGAGCCCATATTTCAATTTATATAACTACTAGCTGTGCCCTGCCACGCGTTGCTGTGGCCTATAGTAAAACTTATCAAAGTTGAGGTAGATATCTGGACTATTATGAAAGAGAGGTACCTACCTATTCCTTCCCCCTTTTCCTCCCCCTTTCTCTCCTTTCTTCCTCCTCTACCTCTTTCTTTCTTTCCTTCTTTCACTACTTGGTTTCATCCTTCTCTCTTTCCTTCATTCCCTACCCCTTTCTTCTTTGCCTTTCTTCCCTCCCTGTTTGCTTCCTTCTTTCACTTTTTATTTCCTTTTATTTCACCACCATCATAACAATAACAATAATGCAATGTATTGCCTCTAGGACCTGACACCTCTCCCATTCCCCCAGGGTCTAATAGGAATAATAGTATAATAATAATAGAAATAACAACCTTTACCCGCCACGTGTTACTGTGGCCAACCTTCCCTCTTTCTCTCCTTCTTTCCCTCCTTCCTTCTTTCCTTCCCATCTTTCCTTCCCCTCTTCCTTCTCTATCTCTTTCCTTCCTTCCCCCTTTTTCTTTCTCTTCTGGTCTCTTTTCTTCCTTCTCTCTTTCTTTCTTTCCTTCCCTCCCTCTTTCTCTACATCTTCCCCCTTCCTTCACTCCCTCTTTCCTTCCTTCATTCCCTTTTTTCTTTCCTTCTCTCCTTCCTTCCTTCCCTTTTCTTTCCCTCCCTCTGTCTCTCATTTCTTCCTTCTCTACCTCTTTCCTTCCTTCCCCCTTTTTCTTTCTCTTCTGCTGTCTCTCTTTTCTTTCCTTCCATCTTTCCTTTTCTTTCCTTTTCTTCTTCCTTCTTTCTCTAACTTTCCTTCCTTCCCCCTTTTTCTTTACCTCCCTTTCTCTTTCTTCCTTCTTTCCTTCCTTCCTGTCTTTCCTGGATTTTGACAGGGCGGGAAGGGGCGGGGTGGGGTTTGGAGGTGGTGTGAAGTAAAAGGAGGTAAGATTGGGGTGGGGGAGTGATGGAGCGTGGGGTTGCGTGTGTGTGTGCGGCGGCGGGGGGAGTGATGGGGCGTGGGGTTGCGTGTGTGTGGGGGGGCGGGGGGAGTGATGGAGCATGGGGTTGCGTGTGTGTGTGCGGCGGTGGGGGGAGTGGGGTTGCGTGTGTGTGTGTGCGGCGGCGGGGGGAGTGATGGAGCGTGGGGTTGCGTGTGTGTGTGTGGCGGCGGGGGGAGTGGGGTTGCGTGTGTGTGTGCGGCGGCGGGGGGAGTGGGGTTGCGTGTGTGTGTGCGGCGGCGGGGGGAGTGATGGAGCGTGGGGTTGCGTGTGTGTGGGCGGCGGGGGGAGTGATGGAGCGTGGGGTTGCGTGTGTGTGTGCGGCGGGGGGGGGAGTGATGGAGCGTGGGGTTGCGTGTGTGTGTGCGGGCGGCGGGGGGAGTGATGGAGCGTGGGGTTGCGTGTGTGTGTGCGGCGGCGGGGGGGAGTGGAGCGTGGGGTTGCGTGTGTGTGTGCGGCGGCGGGGAGTGATGGAGCGTGGGGTTGCGTGTGTGTGTGCGGCGGGGGGGAGTGATGGAGCGTGGGGTTGTGGTGTGTGTGTGCGGCGGGGGAGTGGGTTTCGGTGTGTGTGTGGGGGGGGGGGGGGGGAGTGATGGAGCGTGGGGTTGCGTGTGTGTGTGTGCGGCGGCAGGGGGGGTGATGGAGCGTGGGGTTGCATGTGTGTGTGCGGCGAGGGGGGGAGTGATGGAGCATGGGGTTGTGTGTGTGTGCGGCGGCGGGGGGAGTGATGGAGCGTGGGGTTGTGTGTGTGCATGCGGCAGGGTGTGTGTGTGTGCGGGAAGTGGCGCAGCAGGGCTTGGAGTAGGCATGGCTTCCGCAGAGGGAACATTGGCCGGTAGGCTGTGAGTGCGTGCCAGGGAACTTGCGGCTGGGCGCCAATGCGCATGCTCAGTTGTTTTGCCGTTTTGTGAGTGTGTTGTTGTGTTGTTTTTCATTTTGAGTAGATATGTTTGTACCTTGTGGGTTGTGTTATGGACATGGGGATTTTGGTTAAGTTTCATTGGGGTTTTTTTGAGTTTTGTTGTTTTGCTGTTTTGTGAGTGTGTTGTTGTGTTGTTTTTCATTTTGAGTAGATATGTTTGTACCTTGTGGGTTGTGTTATGGGCATGGGAATTTTGGTTAAGTTTCGTTGGGGTTTTTTTGAGTTTTGTTGTTTTGCCGTTTTGTGAGTGTGTTGTTGTGTTGTTTTTCATTTTGAGTAGATATGTTTGTACTTTGTGGGTTGTGTTATGTGCATGGGAATTTTGGTTAAGTTTCGTTGGGGGTTTTTTAGAGTTTTGCTGTCCCGTTGAACCAACCTAACAGATTTATATATATAGATTATAATACTCAGCTTAAGATAGCTATCCAAGAAGTTGTCACTCATTTCAGGTAATTTCAAGCAGAAGCAGAACTATGTTCTTGTGGCTCAGCGCCACAAGATGTTGCAACTAATGGATCTCAAAACTGCTAAAGTATTTATGGAACGTTACACTGGTGACTGCCAGAGCAATTTCTGAGAGAAAAACCTTGGATATGCCTATCTCCTTTGTTAGCAGAGTTCTTTAATGGTTAGTGCACTGTTGACACAAAGCCAACAAAATTAGACAGTTTCTAACAGTCAGAACGCACAACTGTTTGGGGATCCACTACTGACTATGACTTCAGGAGACCAGCTGCCACCCTTTGCGCACAATTAAAGGACAAACAGCTTGAAAATAGCAGCTTGAAATTGCTTTCAACAGAGAAATGAATCCACCCACAAACCAATAGTAGGGTTTTAAAGGGCGTGAGGATGCACAAGCAGAAAGGATAAATTAAAGACCATAGAATACATTGTAAAAAGCAAATAAAAATTGAGGATTCCACAATACAAAGTCTGGATGCTATTGCTTCAGGAAAAAGTACTCTATGTAATACATTTCTACCAAGCTATCCTCAGAATGGCTTCTTCAAAGTGACTACACTTACTGCACCAAATTTTGGAAAAATGAATCAAGCGGAACTATGGCATATTTCAACATGCTATACACAATGAGGTTCAGACCTATATTTCTACAGATGTTGATGTACAGCTCCAACTCTTCATCAGAGTCTTCTACCAAGTATCCTCCAGACGTCTTAATCAAGGGATTCAAATCACGTTTCTTTAAAGCTTCATCAAATATATAGCAGGGCACCTAGAAATTAAGCACACCAGCAATATACAAAAAGAGAATGGACAACTTCATGGACATTACAGAACACTGTCCCATTTTACAAATGATACTGGCACTCTAACCCACCCAGGCAACAAAACATCTGGCCATTGAAAGGGAATAAGGCTACTATTATTGCACACAGACAGTTTTTATTATTACACAAAACCACAACCAAACTGAGTGTGGGATGTTTAAGAACATACAAAACAGAAAGTCAGGTTTCCAACATTTCAGAAATCAAGGCTATAGCAAGTCTCTTCCTTAATACTAACTATCTAAATGTTGCTGGTAGTTTCACCTAAAAGAGATTGCTTTTGATCACTGATTCAATAGTTCTATTCTAGTTGGGACTAGTAACAGGATTCGGGCTATTGTGACTAGGGCAAGCATGAAAACCAACTGCCTCCACAATATGACCTCCTGCCCTTCCCCTTTCCCAAAGTAATAGGGCAGGAATATGCTGTCCTAAAAGTACTGGATTGTTTAAGCCAAAACTGGAAAAATTAATATTTAATTTGATACTTTTGTTGAATCCATCACATTATCACAAACTTATAATTAAATGCTACCCAAGAGCACTTATTTTGAACAGAATGGGCAGATCTCTGAACACTGCACATGGATAATAACAACAAAAACACCCTCACCATCCTAAAAGAAGTTGCTGAGCTATAATTCCCACTAGATGCACAGAATTACAATCAATCATTGTATGATTGCCTCAAACATGTTTTACCTCTTTTGTTGGTTTGAACGTATTCTTCTTGCATGCAAGATATGTCTTCCACTCAAAGTAGTGCACACATTCACTTGATGTCACAAATTCTGGAGAACCCTAATTTAGAAAGCAATGGAAGAGAACATTTGCCATTTCATGTTTTGAAAGTGCAAGGAAAGCTTCACCTCAAACAGCCAATAAATTTTAAAACAATCAAAAAAACCCTTTAAAATAGAAGTAGTTTAATTGGTTATTCCCTTGAATAATCTTCTGTAGACAAAACACTGCTTCAGCCTAAACATTTAGGGGAAGTGGAAGAACATACATGTATACATACCATTAGTTATAGCACCCATAAGAACAAACAATAACATCATTTGAGAACCTCAGTACATCAAGCACTGGTCTTTTTTTTCATGTCAGGAGAACAACTTGAGAAACTGCAAGTAGCTTCTAGTGTGAGATTGAGAGAATTGGCTATCTGCAAGGATGTTGCCCAGGGGACGCCCAGATGTGTTACCATCCTGTGGGAGGCTTCTCTCATGTCCACGCATTAGAATCTGGAGCTGACAGGCAGGAGCTCAACTGCTCCCCAAATTTGGACCACTGACGTTTTGGTCAGCAGTCCTGCCGGCACAAGGGTTTAATCCACTGTGCCACCGGGAGCTCCTATCAAGCACTGGCAACCCAATAGAAACCCCACAACAAAGACTTATCACTTATAATACTACAATCTTTATAAGGCACATTTTTAAAGCTGCCCTATACCTTATCTTGACTGAAAAGCGTGGTATATATACAAAAACAAATTATCTTGAATAACAAGAGAAACAGTGTTTATTTTTAAGTCTTCAGAACAGATTTCGAAATAATATCCATATATATGCTCTATTTTGTATGAAATAAATTTAGTATTTTTCAACCTGCATTTGCATAGAGAGAGGAGGAACAGGAATAATTAATGAAAAACCTCATACTGGCAGTACCCGAGTTACAAACACCCAATTTACAAACGATTCATATTTAAGAACAAGCAATAATATTATACTGACTAGAGTCTTTCCACAATAGAAATTGATGTTGCTTTGGAACACACGGTGAGGGCCTTGTTGCGAACAAGAGTTTGTAGTGTTGAATTCCAAGAGCAAATTAGAACCTCTCATCAGTGAAGAGTCACCTACAACAGAATAAGTACAACAAATGAGGAGGGTTTTTCTGGAAGGGGGGGGGGTTGCTTTTATGCCCTGATCTTTTAAATTAATGTCTTCACAGAGTAGCTTTCAACAGAAAAATAAATACAAAACACAAATTAGATTAAGGTCCATGACATAACACTCCGAAACAAGTTCTTGTCATGTGCAGGTCAATTACTAAGTATAAGTTTAGTAATTTTAGTCAAAAACACAACCCACCAAACCTGAGTTAATTAGAGTGTATTGTACGTTTACAATTTTTAAAAAAGAAACTATCCCATTCTCTGAGTAGAGAGGCAAAAAAGAGGAAAAAGAAAATGGCGGGGTTGGATGTCGCCTTCCCCTTGGCTAAAATGGACCCTCACAGTAAGTTATCATGGGAATTACCAACAGAAGAAATGGCATCAAGGAAATCAATTTAGCCAAAGAGAACTTGCTGCAGCAACCATATACCAAAGGATGCCCTAGTAGAGGCAAATTGGCCCAGCCTATAGAGTTTTGTACAAGTGGCAAGAGCAATCCCAGGTAGCACCCTCTGCAAATCTCACAAACAGTCATGCAAAAATAAAAACCAGTTAGTCACAAAGGTGCTGCCATACTTCCTTTTTCTTGTTTTTCCCTCTCACTTTCTTAGTCCTTTAAATGCTGGAAGAGACTAACACAACTACTTCTTTGAAAGCATCTGGAGGGTGTCATATAGAAGAATCATAACCCTGTGAGGCCATGGTGACTATAAGAAAATCAGCCAATGCACAGAATTAGTTATGAAAATCAGATTACCATTACAAAATCTTTGTCAATATTTTTTTTTGAGAAGGAGCTCTCATCACATCCAAAACCTGAAGGTCAGGCATCTTGAAGTCAAAAACATGGAGACATGACAGATCAGCAGCAAAACAGGAAGTCTTCAGCATGGGAGAAGAAACACTATATACAAACAGAGAAGCTGACACAGTATATAAACCTTTGGACTTACCTACTGAGAAAGAGGTTTTGGTTTTTATGTCATATGCACAAACAGTACTGGATCCTCCACATGCTAGGGCATTACCACAGAGATTTATTTTATAGTGCACTTTTTCAGGATCAACAGCTTCCCATGTATAACTGAAAAGGGAGAAAAAAAGATACCGTTGATAGGTGTAACTCAACTCAATTCAGTTAAGGCAACCCAAATGAATCTCAAAGCCAGCGAGCTTTTTATTCAGCTTACACATTCAAGAGAAAAGGACTTGCCCTTTGATCTTGTATGATGCCTCTAATTTCAGTGCTGTCACAATCTCTTGCTTTCTCTTTCATGTTGGAATTAAGAAAAAGCTCAATGAATTGACAGAAGTGAAGTGGTGCCTCAGAAGCACCATTTTTCAGTGGATTCATACCATAGCACTACTATAAAACTCATCACCACCCCATGAATTAAAACATTCAGGTTCCACACAGTTGTCACATTTATTTCTGAGATTATGTACCCTCTCACTGTGCACTAAAAATACTTTATTGAACCAAATGCATTTTAAATTACTATTTCAAGAACCATTACTTTTGTCCACTTGAGAGACAAGCAAAACAAAGGCATGACAGGAACCCAAAGGAGTACTGCTTCAACATCAAAATTCGTGGAAGATAGTCAGTTTTCCATATTCACCGGAGTTGAGGCACAGGACACACAATAAAGAAGAATAAAATCACAATGAAGGCATAGAGATTCCTAGAGAAGCCTTCTATCTACAAATAGCTAAGTCCTCCAGCATGACTTTGTGGTCAACTTCCAGCAAACAACAGAATCACACTGGAGGTCCTAAAGCATCCCAAAAATGACATTTTAATCAAATCTACAAATAATCAAATCAGCAAAAGCCATATCCACAAATGTGGGGACCTGACAATATTATCTGATCCAACTTCAGAAAACAATAACCTAAGAATTTCAAGATTACTTAAGAGGGAGTAACTGGAAAGATGTGCATTTAAGTTCACTATGAAACCGCATATTTAGTGTGCTGGCAAAAAAGCTACAACAGAGCATATAACATATTGTCATATACAATATTCAATGTTTTTAAAACTGACCTGGTATATTCAAGTTGCTAATTTAAAGAACATGAAACTATAATCGCACACCACCACACAAACAGTAGATGAGATAAAAGGGTGGAGTTCAACGTGTTGTATAGTTGTTCGTTCAGCACTGTCCAAGTTTCAGTAATTCGCTGGGCTTCTAACATTGTTACTCGGAGATGCATCCCACTCTTTAATTTTTGATGCATTGCTCTGTGATGGAAAATTACAGGAGCTAACCAGTTTAAAACACAATGAATTTATACTGCAATATTGCATTGCTTCACTAATTCAAGAGACTGTTTCACTAGTATACAAATGAAACACTGAAACACCACCCTTTTGACAAAGACCATCAAGAAGAACACACCTTAATCATACAGTAAAGCACTGTTTCAAAAGTGTGTTCATTCAATCAGAATGACATCAACTCCTTTCCCATTCTTCCCTGAACAAAATATATTCCATTATAAGCAATCAACTTTCTGCTGGCCCATTTATGTTGGATAAGCGAGACTACTGTAATTGCCTCGATAACCTCCATACAGGACAGGAAATATTAAAATTTCTGAGAAGGCAAGCCAAACCTGTTTTAAATTATCCAGAGAACCTCATGAATGCCTTCTTTTCCCCACAGCATGAAGTTGTGATGCATAAAATAGGGTTCTGATTCCTTATCATTTCCTTAGTAAGAGAAATGGTTTCATCTTCAAAATCCGACTTAGGCTGTGATCCTATACACACTTACTCAAACACTACTGAAACTATAGTATATATCGCTGAACAAACAAACACTGGATTGGGTTATAAGTTGTTGTTCATTTGTTCAGTCGTTTCTGACTCTTCGTGACTTCATCGAGCAGCCCATGTCAGAGCTCCCTGTCGGCCGTCACCACCCCCAGCTCCTTCAAGTTTAAGCCAGTCACTTCAAGGATCCCATCCATCCATCTTGCCCTTGGTCGTCCCCTCTTCCTTTTTCCTTCCATTTTCCCCAGCATCATTCTCTTCTCTAAGCTTTCCTTTCTTATAATGATGTGGCCAAAGTACCTCATCTTTGCCTCTACTATCTTTCCCTCCAATGAGCAGTCAGGCTTTATTTCCTGAAGTATGGACTGGTTGGATCTTCTGGCGGCCCAAGGTACTCTCAGAACTTTCCTCCAACACCACAGTTCAAAAGCATCTATCTTCCTTTGCCTTCCCTATGGTCCAGCTCTCACATCCGTAGGTGACTATGGGGAATACTATTCCTTTAACTATGCGGATCTTCATTGCCAGTGTGATGTCTCTATTCTTCACTATTTTAACGAGATTGGTCATTGCTCTCCTCCCAAGAAGTAAGCATCTCCTGACTTCCTGGCTGCACTCTGCATCTGCAGTAATCTTTGCACCTAGATATACAAAGTCTGTCACGGCCTCCACGTTTTCTCCCTCTATTTGCCAGTTATCAATCATTCTTGTTGCCATAATCTTGGGTTTTTTTATGTTTAGCTGCAACCCAGCTTTTGCGCTTTCTTCTTTCACCTTGATTAGAAGGCTCCTCTGCTCATCCTCAGAGTGGTATCATCTGCATATCTTGAACCAGTCGGCTGTTCCATGGTCAGTTCTTACTGTTGCTACTTGGTCCTTATATAGATTCCTCAGGAGACAAGGTATGCCCATACCACCAAGAACTTGCCACAATTTATTATGATCCACACAGTCAAAGGCTTTAGAATGGTCAATAAAACAGAAATAGATGTTTTTCAGAAACTCCCTGCCTTTCTCCATTATCCAGTGGGTTATAAGTAGAGACTGAGAAAATGAAGTTGGTAGCATAAGCCTTCATAGACTAAGCCTACTTCCTCAGATGTAGAAAGAAACTGCAATGTGTGGCTTTAACATTGTGGTTTTAATAGTAACAAGATTTTTTAAGTGGGAGTAGAAGAATGTTTCCACTGCAGGAGGCTGAGAGGAGGAACGTAAGGACCTAAGATGCCATCTTATCTTTTCACCTGCATGTTTGACCAGACATGAGTTTCTCATCTGGATAATACACATTAATGAGTGTTTGTAATATATGAATAGAGAGATCATTAATATTGTATGCAGTTAGTCACATTATCCTCTGCATGTCTTTTATTCAGGAAGTAGTGTTACAACTAGTCACAAACCATCACAGTGTGTGTCAAATGCTTAGTCAGGTAAAATTCTTGCACTGAGAGGGTGATTTAGAGAGGAATTGGGAACATATGAGCCTACCAATATATAACTGCAGCTGACTATCCTTGCTAGGGTTAATGGAAACTCCTGTCAAACACTACCTAGAAAACCACGGGTTTCTCGTCCTTTGGATTAGAATACAGTCTTCTGAAGTTCACCCAACAAGCAGGTACAACCTTCCTCAAAAAATGCTCCACAATGGGAATATAAGCAAGAAAGGCAAGCTGCCTAGATAGAAATAAAATGAAACAGAAAGCTGGAAGCATAGATTTCATTAGTCTGAAGGACAGTCTCATTAGAGGAACAAGAGCAACTCATTAGGATGCTAATACATTCTCCGTCCAGACAATGTCTACATATTTGACCTGCATATTTTAAAAAGAAAGCAATGAATATAAAGTCAACAGAAGGCATCAAAGCTCTCTCATCCTACAGGTTTAGATTACATTGGAACCGGCCACTCAGAAAAATGAGCATTCATATGATGAAATAAAACATATCAGAATCATAGCTGTAAGGTTAAAAGAGATCCCAAGAGTTATCTTGTCCAATGATGGTTAAGCTCCTGGTTTGGAGAGACTGGTGGACAAACCAGCTCTTATCATTATTAATGGATGCATCTATACTATAGGATGTATGCATTGAGACACCATTTTAACTGCCATGGCTTAATGCTATGGAAACTTGGGATTTGTAGTTTAGTGAAGCACTATTTGACATAGAAGGCTAAAGACTTTGTAGAATGACATCTCCGATGATTTATGACATTGAGTCATGCTAGTTAACATATATCACATTGCTTTCATTTTATTTATTTATTTAGAACTTTTATATACCGGTCTTCCCGACCACCGGAGAGGGACTCAGGCCGGTTTACAACAAAGATTCATAAACAATAGTTTAAAACATCACACCCCATAATACACTAATACATAAAATACATTAAAAAGCAATCATATAAAAACAATCATATAAAAGAATTTTTACAGTGTAGGTATTCTCAACAAACTAAACTTTTTAACCATGTATCTCCAATCCAAAAGATTGTTCAAAACTTTCTTTTTATTTTATTTATAGCACTTTTATCCCGCCCTTTTCAGCCCAAAGGCAACTCAGGGCGGCGCACAAACTGGCAACAATTAGATGCCACAACACACATACATACATCAGTTAAAAGCAGGTAAATCACATAATAAAATCCACATAAAAACCATTAAAACTACAATAATCAATGTCTTCCAGTTCAACTCCTTGTCCATTTACATCGTTTAGCCATTCCGTGTTCGTTCATAATACTGTGTTTGTCTGTTTACACTGAAGTTCCAAAAGCTTGCTCGAAGAGCGAGGTTTTTATAGTCTTTTCTGAAAGGTCAGGAGGGAGGGGGGCGATCTAATATCCCTGGGATATTATCACCGAAAAAACTATTTCCCATCACAATTTGACATATTTTATGCTTAAGTTAGAACAGAACAGGTTTTTCCTGCTGCTTAGATTTGCAACTGCACACATTACAGCAAATTATCATTTTGATCTCACTAGATCCAGCCTATAACATCAGCCACATACACCTCCAGGTTGAATTATACCCGCTTACAAAGAAAAAAGCTTATGCCAGATAATTCAGTGACATTTTGTAACAGCAGTCTTCTAAGGAATTTTTCATTCAAATGTTTCTAACAAAGCGTAATAGCTTGCATTAAAAAAACCCTTGCTGCTATCCTAGTCAGGAAACTAACCAGAAAGGAAAAATATTCTAATAGACAAAGAACAAGGAACGCAGGCCTACACTCCTCAGGCTTGCCATTAAAGACACAGCTTCAACAAACAATGCTCCTTAACAAGATTCTTTGTAGAACTTCTGTTGGGAAATAACCTCTCGAACTTGTAGAGTAGCACATTTTCTGCACGGCTCATAAGGCACAATAACTTCCTTGTTGATAACCCTTGCATGTAGACGGCTTTTAAAAAACACCTAGCTTGTTTGCTAGAAAACAGACTAAGTTGCAATTAAAAATATAGTATTGGGAGCTTTTTTTACAAAAACATATACATTTAAACAGCTGCAACAAGCACTAGAGACAAAGAATAGAAATTATTCCAACAGAAAAAAGGCTAATTTGAGAGGTAAATACAGGTTTATTATTTATTTATGACATTTATACTCCATCTTTCTCACCCCAGAGGGGACTCAAGGCAGCTTTACATACAGGCAATGATTTGAAGCCTTAAAACAGTGTACACTTAAATATTAAAATGGAATTAAAAAGTACATTAAAAGCAATTAAAATATTTAAAAACAATACATTCAGAGTTAAACACATAATCAACAAGCATAATCCGGGCCGTTCCAATGGTCATTGCACATTGTTCCAAGTCTATCTATTCCACAAGTTCTCTAAAAGTTTGGTCACAAAATCACGTATTCACTCTCTTTGATATGAGGTTGCATATCCCTCATCCAGAAGTTCAATGCGTTCCAAAATATGTCCATATGGATGGCTGAAAAAGTGACACCTTTGTTTCCTAATGATTCCATCTAACACAAACCTTGTTTCGTGCAAAAAATTATTCAAAATATGGTAGATAAAATTACCTACATGCGAAGTTTATAGAGTGTACAGGCAGTCCCCAAGTGACAAACAAGTGTAGGTTTATTCTTAAGTTGAATGTGTATGTAAGTAAAAACAGACACATTTTTAAAGTAAATCTCCTTCTCTCTCTCTCTCTCTCTCTCTCTCTCTCTCTCTCTCTCTCTGGATAGCATAGAGAAGAGTTAACACCTCTGTGACATTTGTCTTGATGTCTGTGCCTCTGTTCTGAAGATTTCACCTTACTTGTTCATTGGATTTTGAAAAACAGGACTTGCTGTGGAAACAAAGATTGGTGATAGAGCTTCAGGGGAGACACCATTTGGCCATGGTAATTCTTCCAGGAGTGAAATTCCCTTGTGAGGGGTAGAATTCCCTCCCTTCCTGTTGTCTCAGCCCTGTTCTTAACTATGAGTTGTTTGTAAGTCAGATGTTTGTAACTCGGGGACAGCCTGTATATGAAACATATGGGAATTACAGGTTGAAGATTGGGCCCTTTCTCCAAGGATGCATCTACACCAGGCATGGGCAACTTCGGCCCTCCAGGTGTTTTGGACTTCAACTCCCACAATTCCTAACCAGCTGTTATGAATTATGGGAGTTGAAGTCCAAAACTCCTGAAGGGCTGAACTTTGCCCATGCGTGATCAACACTGTAGAAGGAATACAGTTTGACACCACTGCCATGGAATCCTGAGTTCTGATAGTACCTTAGCATAATTAATTGCCACTGCACACTGCACTTTTAATTCCACGTGCCCCACCACCTCAGCACTTTTAATTTCCTGTACCCATCGCGCCGGCCGAGCCAGTTTTAATAATGTTTGATGTATTGTTGGTGTCGTTATTGCTTATTGTTTGATTTGCTTTGCTATTGTTGTGTTATGTTTTTTACTGTATTGTGTTTTGAGGCTTCGGCCTGTGTGAGCCGCATCGAGTCCCTCGGGAGATGCTAGCGGGGTACAAATAAAGTTAATAATAATAATAATAATAATAATAATAATCCTGGGGTTTATCATTTTACAAGGTCCTTAACTTTATTCCAAGGCCCCCTGGTGTTGCAGCGGGTTAAACCATTGAGCTGCTGAACTTGCTGACCAAAAGGTTGGTGGTTCGAATCCGGGAGAGTGGTATGAGCTCCCGCTCTTAGGCCCAGCTTCTGCCACCCTAGCTGTTCAAAAGCATGCAAATGTGAGTAGATCAATAGGTACCATTTCGGTGGGAAGGTAATAGTGCTCCATGCAGTCTAGCCACATGACCTTGGAGGTGTCTACGGACAATGCCAGTTTTTGGCTTAAAAATGGAGGTTATTACCATCCCCCAGAGTTGGACACGATTAGACAATGTCAGGGGAAATCTTTACCTTTTAGCCTTCTCCGCCAAAGACGGCTGGTGCCTTGTCAAACTACGACTCCCATGATTCCGTGGCAGTTAAAGTGTCCAACTGCATTCTTTCTACATTGTGGATATGAGACCATGACTCGGCATTTTATATGTGGCTTTTAATCTGTTTGATAGATTGGTACGAGTTTCAATTGCTTGTATGTTTAGATTGTTTATATTTTTATGAGATGTGTTTTACTGTTTACCTGTGCGGCATTGCATTTTTGCTGGATTTGTATGCTGCCTTGAGTCCCCTCTCAGGTCGAGAAAGGTGGGGTAGAAATGAAGCAAATAAATAATTAGATGCCCTCCAAGAAAATGGTTGCATATCCCTTACCTGAAATGTTTGAGGCTAGAAGTATTTGGGATCTTGGAATATGTAAATATACAAAGCAAAAGGTCTTTAGGGTTGTAAACATATAGTGTGCATCTCTGAAGTAGTCATCTGATTATTGGGCAAGCATTACCTCACCCAAAAAGACAGAGCTGCCTTTCTTAGGATGCATGTAAACCAGGTATGGGCCAACTTGGGCCTTGTAGGTGTTTTGGACTCCAACTCCCACCATTCCTCACAGCCTCAGGCCCCTTCTTTTCTCCCCTCAGCCACCTAATCTGAGTGCTGGGCCCATAACCAATGTTAGGTCTGAGGCTGTGAGGAATGGTGGGAGTTGGAGTCCAAAACACCTACAAGGCCCAAGTTGGCCCATACCTGGTTTACAAGCACCCATTGATCATTTCTAATTCCTACTCACCTGCACAGGTCCTGGTAATTGAAGGAGCTCTGGGCCTCTCCTTTCTGGCCCAAGAGAAGGAAGAGAAGAGGCAACAGGAGGGGAGCCCCGAAAAGCGGGGCGAAAGTGGGGCGCCTCATGGAGAGGCCTCTGAGGGGCGCCGAGGCTACTCCACTGACATGTCGAGAGGCAGGAAGGCGGGGTCACGTGACTCTCTCTCTCTCTCTCTCTCTCTCTCTCTCTCTCTCTCTCTCTCCCTCTCTCGCCGCTGCTCAGGTGACCGGCTCCGCGCCCATCACGTGCCGGCAGTCATGTGAAGGAAAAGATGACAGAGCGGGCGAAGCCGATTGGCTGCTGTGATACCCCCTACGTCCAATCGCAATGGCCAAATCAAAAATGGGAAAGGCCAGCCAGCTGTTCTCACGGGGAAACCGCTGTGCGCAGCTCGCTGATTGGGCGAGACGTTAGCCGCTTCCCTTCGCATCTGCTGGTTTTGGGAGAAAGGGTTGCGAAACAAAAGCGTTTAATTACCCCCCCCCCCCAAAAAAAAGGGGATAAGCTATGCAGAATGAGGCTTACAGTACAAATTATTCATCCCCTTGATGTTGCCATTCATATGTGAGGGGCCCTTTCCACACAGCTGAATAAAATCCTATATTTTTTGTTTTGAACTGAGATATATGGCAGTGTGGATTTGGGGTCTACTCCGAATTCAAGAACGGAAAATGCAGTGTTGGAGGGCAGGAAAAGAGATTTAAAGATGGGCTCAAAGTCAACCTAAAAAAACTGGCATAGACACAACTGGGAAGGCCTGGCCCTTGAGTGCTCTAGCTGGAGGTCAGCTGTGACCAGCAGTACTGTAGAATTTGAAGAGGCAGAAATGGAGGGTGAAAGAGAGAAACGTGCCAAGAGGAAGGCGAGTCAAGCCAACCCCGACCGGGACCGCCTTCTACCTGGAAACCAATGCTCTCACTGTGGGAGATGATGCAGATAGGGCTCCACGGCACACTTGGGCTTCAGCCCCCCCCCCCCCCGAATTCTCATGGTAGTCCGCGAACAGGCCTTACTGGTACATTATTTAAACTGCTATGTTTATTCATATCATGATCTGATCACCATGCTCAATATATCCCGTATGCATGGGGGTATTGGGGTAATGATACAAAACGTTTGATAGGGTAGACCCTCTTTCACTCAGACTCAGCCCCCCCCCCCTCAAATCGAACTCCTGGCTGTGGGCCTGACTGCGGAAGAACATGCAGATCAAGAATAGGGCTCCACAGTCACTTACGGACACCACTCTTGGAAGACAATCCTACTCAGACAACGAGGGATCACCTAAGTAAGTAAGTAAGTAAGTACAACCCAGGATCCTTCCACGCAGCACTATATTCCAGCATTTTCCATCTTCATCGCTATGATACTTCATCTTGTTGATGGGAAGTAGAAATCATCTATCAGACAGAAGCAAGCTATTTAACCTCAGCAGACTGAAAGCCAAAACCAAGGTTACAACAACATCTGTTATAGAACTCCAGTATGCTGATGACATGTCGTCTGTGCGCATTCAGAAGAAGATCTACAAGCCACTCTGAACACCTTTGCAGAAGAATACGAGAAGCTCGGCCTGTCATTGAACATCGAGAAAACCAAAGCTCTTCCAGCAGTCACCAGCCAATATCTAATAGAATAATAATAATAATATTTATTTATACCCTACCACCATCTCCCCAAAGGAGACTCGGTATGGCTAACATAAGGCCAAGCCCAAAAATAATATAGCAAAGTTAAACACAAAATAACAGAAAAATTACATCACAACAAAATACATGAAGTAACAAAATAAAATAAACAGTGCAAAACAACATAATAAAAACCAAACACAAAGGGCCGGCCAAATGTGCAAGATAAAATGTTAAAATAGAAAAAAGTGTATTTATGAGGGAGGAGCCCAAGAGGGAGGAGCAGTGGGGTATGGACTTCATTAAAGACAGTGTATCATGGGGATGATATAGGTGGAAACAAACAAAAAGGGTTAAGTGTTCACTCTCCAGTGCCAGAGATACAGCTTAATGGTGTAACATTAGAAAATGTTGATCATTTCCGTTACCTTGGCAGCCACCTCTCCACAAAAGTCAACATTGACACTGAAATACAACAACGCCTGAGCTCTGCGAGTGCAGGTTTTTTCTGAATGAAGCAGAGAGTGTTTGAGGACCGGAACATCCGTAGGGATACCAAGATGCTTGTTTACAAAGCTATTGTCCTCCCAACCCTGCTCTATGCCTGCGAAACGTGGACTGTCTACAGACGTCACATGCAACTCCTGGAACAATTCCATCAGTGTTTGCTCCAGAAAATCCTGCAAATCTCTTGGGAAGACAAGCGGACAAATGTCAGCATGCTGGAAGAAGCAAAGACCACCAGCACTGAAGTGATGGTCCTCCGCCATCAACTACGCTGGACCGGCCAGGTTGTCCAGATGCCTGACCACCGTCTCCCAAAGCAGTTGCTCTACTCCGAGGGCAGGAAAAGAGATTTAAAGATTGGTTCAAAGCCAACCTTAAACTCTGGCATAGACATTGAGAACTGGGAAACCCTGGCCCTTGAGCATTCCAGCTGGAAGTCAGCTGTGAACAGCAGTGCTGCAGAATTTGAAGAGGCATGAATGGAGGGCGAAAGAGAGAAGCGTGCCAAGAAGAAGGCGTATCAAGCCAAACTCGACTGGGATTGCCTTCCACCTGGAAGCTGATGCCCTCACTACAGGAGAAGATGCAGGTCAAGAATAGGGCTCCACAGTCACCTAGGGACCCACCACCAGGACAGCGAACTTGGAGGACAATATTATTCGGACAACGAGGGATCGTCTAAGTAGGTATATCCCAGAATATCAAGGCAAAAAATCTCACAATAACTTATTTGAACTGGATTGTCTGAATCCACACTGTGATATATTCCAGTTCAAAGCAGATAATCTGGGATTTTATTCAGGTGTGGAAGGGGCCTCAGATAACCCAGTTCAAAGCAGATATTGTGGGATTTTCTGCCTTGATATTCTGGGATATATGGCTGTATGGAAGGGTCCCAAATGAAGCTGAGAATTGTATCTGGAAGCTCTTGGTAGTTTTCGTTTCCCAGTTCCTACAGCAAATTAGAAACAGTTCAGTCGTTACACTAAATTTGAAACATTAGTCATTAAACTAAAAGAGGAACTGGAACAGATATGGTTTTGCATGCAAAAATAAGTTCTGGCCCTTTGCCAGGTCATATTTGGTAATAAAAGAGGTTATCCAAATGAGTCTAAGGGCCCTTCCACACAGCCCTATATCCCAGAATATCAAGGCAGAAAATCCCACATTATCTGAGTGTGGACTCAGATAACCCAATTCAGATATTGTGGGATTTTCTGCCTTGATATTCTGGGATATCAAGAGCCTGTAGATTGTCTATTTTGATAATGTGGATTATATGGCAGTGTAGAAGGGGTCAGAGAATCATTATTCAGGCTGGATCTACACTGCCTTGTAATGCAGTTTCAGAATGCAAATTAACTGCATTGAACTGGTTATATGTCCACACTGTCATATAATCCAGCTCAATGCAGTTAATCTACATTCTGAAACTGCCTTAATACCATTGCAGATCCAACTTCAGACACAGGGCCCTTCCACACAGCTTTGAACTGGATTATCTGAGTCCACTCTCAGAAAATATGGGATTTTCTGCCTTGAAATTCTGGGATATAGGGCTGTGTGGAAGGGCCCTCCAAATGTAAGTATGTGTTGTTATAGTTATTTGTACAGTGCTTTTTATACGAAAGGTGCCTCACTTCTCCACCCATTTTATTACTGGACATGAACTACAACTGTAAAGCTGATGGTCTGACATTTCTGTATTCTCAGCAATACTCTCCTGCAAAGTCCATTTTATAGAGTCACCAAACAGGTTTTTTATTGTTCCTATTATTTATTGAAACTATATTGAAGTTAATGCTCATGGTGCTTTTAAAAAGCCAAGCCTTCTGTACTTCGACTCTACCTTTTATAGACTTTTTAGCTATTCTTCCTTGTTTGTCCAGGATCCTAGGCAGGGAGCCCTAGAGACAGTCTGGTCTAGTGACATGGAAGAGGAAGTGTTCCTGGGAATGAGTCAGATCCTCTCAGAGAAACCGGAAAAGACCCAAAGGCTCTTTCCCAAACTCATTGCATGTCCCCAGAGTCTTTCTGGTGCATTGTGCGGGAATTATGATAATTAGAATAATAAAGTTGGAAGGGACCACATGGGCCATCTAGTCCACCCCCCTCCCCCGGTGCCATGCAGGAAAAGCACAAAGTACCCCAAAGTATAGGATTATATCCTGAAGTCTAAGGTGCGGTGGGGCAGCATCCCAGGGAAATTGATGAAAGGGTACTGCAGGACAAATGAAAAGGCAATACGGTCTCGCTGTATATCCCAACAGAGCCACGTATCATAATTCATACTTTTGGGGTCTAATTTACAATCGGATGTATCCCAAGTGTCCTTTTTTCAAACATAAAAAGCTGCCTTATATTGAGGCCCCATCCACACTGATAATTTAGGACCTTTCTACACTGTCCTTATATTCCAGGATCTGATCCCAGATTATCTTCTTATCCCAGATTATTTTGCAGTAAGTAAAGGTAAAGGTTTTCCTCTGACATTAAGTCCAGTCATGTCGTGTCCGACTCTGAAGGTTGGTGCTCATCTCCATTTCTAAGCCAAAGAGCCAGCGTTGTCTGTAGACACCTCCAAGGTCATGTGGCTGACATGACTACATGGAGCGCTGTTACCTATTGATCTACTCACGTTTGCATGTTTTCGAACTGCTAGGTTGGCAGAAGCTGGGGCTAACAGCGGGAACTAACTCTACTCTCTGGATTCAAACCTGCAACCTTTCAGTCAACAAGTTTTGCAGCTCAGTGCAGCTCAATATTTTGCAGTGGAGACTCATATAATTTAGGGCCCTTCCACACAGCTATATCGCTTTTCCCCACAGAAACACCAGGCTCAATCAGAAAATCCTCATCGTCAGAGGTTTCACAGGCCTCAACAGCTTTGAACTGGGGTATCTGAGTCCACACTGCTATATAATCCAGTTCAGTGTGGATATTGCACAGCTGTGTGGAAGGTGCCTCTCTCTGGGCCCTTCCAAACAGGCCCTATAGCCCAGAATCATAGAATCAAAGAGTTGGAAGAGACCTCATGGGCCATCCAGTCCAACCCCCTGCCAAGAAGCAGGAATATTGCATTCAAATCACCCCTGAC